TGTTTATTAGCCCTTTGTCTTACATGTGTCTCATTGAAACAGTCTTACACACTGTCCTGTCCAACTTCTATCTGTGGACATGTGTTTGTACGCACAAAATGCAGCATAATGCATTCTTTTCAACTGGCATTGCTAACAGTGGCTAATCTGGCTTGAACTGGTGTTGTTAAGATCTTGGTTTTCTGACTTCTTGTACTGGAACGTGACCAACTCAGATGTGATGTCATTCCCAGCTTCGACCTCCAGCTTCCAAGGTAACTGGAACGCAGCATCATACCTGCAGGACGCTATTGTGAGCATGTTAGCATGCTGACTCAAAGCATCACTGTCCCTAAACACAGCCACGCAGAGCTGCTAGCATGCACTGTAATAATTACACAGCATTGCACGACTGTCTAATTTGATGAGATCACTTTGTCATAAGCAGCACAGTCCTCCCCAGCCTTGATGGCAACCTAGCGCTGTGTTTAAAGTGCACACAGTAAGATGAGTGTGCAGGGCCCGTTTGCAGCATCAACACCAACAGAGCGAGCGAGAGCACAGCAGTGTCAGGGTGTGTCTGCGGCGGGACGAGTCCAGGCTTCAGCAGACTTGACAGGCTGTGGCTCATTAAACCCCCATCAGACGCAGGAGGTCAAGACAACAGCTACAGCTCGGGCGACGCACTCTGCCCCCATGCGTATCATGTAGACACACATTGGGACTGTGTGGGCCCAACAGGATGGGATAGTTGTTTTATTTTTAGCATTTAATCATTACTGCCAACTGCCAAGAATTCTGAGAAGTCTTTAGATCAAGCATGAAGAGACTAATGGCTTATAGAATTAATGTTCAGGATTGATGCACATGGGAATTTGTTGTGTATGATTAGATGGGAAAAGTTGGTGCTTTTGTTTTTACTCTCTTCTCACGACATATTTAATGCAAACTGTATTTTCTGTGTGGGTGGATGGCTGGCTGGCTTTGGAGAAACAGGTCAACAATGTTGCTGCAGAAGGTTTCACAGTGGGGTAGTGAGACAGAGGGACTGGGGGCACTGTTTGGCACGGATGAGGTGATACACTTAATTTCAGGTTGAAACATACCGGTGTAAACAGCGCTACTTGTTTGATTGTGTTTTATTCAAATGTGCAAAACAACAGAGACAGCTTTGAACCACAAGTGAAATGCAAGTTGTGTGTTTTTAGGGTTCTCAATGGACCAGCTCAACCGTTTCCCAAACTCTGACTCATGTCGCCTGAGCTGAAGTCCTGCAAGGTCAAACAAGTGAATCCTATGCCAACCTCAGGCTGTGTGGCTCCTCTCGATCTCTATCTGACCTCTGTGCTTCCCTTTTTTCTCCCAGTACTCTCAGAGTGGACAAAAACACATACAATACACATTTCATTCTCACCCTTTTTTCTAATCTCTCTCTACTCCCTGCCTTCCTCTTCCTCATTTGTCCATCTCTGTGTATAAAAAGCCACCAGGGACCCCGTCTTTTGGCAGAGCAGTAGGAGAGAGGATGGGAGAAGAGGATTCTTGTCAGATCTGCCAGTTGAATGACCACTCGAGTGGAAAGGATTAGTTATATCCTGTCCTTCTCTCACTCTTTAAAGCGGTCTCATTAGGCCTGCTGGACCAAAGGACCCAGGGTGCCCCTGCTAGTGCTGGGCTAAATATTGCACTCAGGGAAACCCTGGATGTGTTATCCCGACACAGCTGAGGGTCGTCATGGTCACATAGTCACTTAAGAGGATTGGATCCTGGTGAAGTGATGTGTAATTGCTAATCTTCTCACCACAATGGAACTGGGGATCAGGATTTTCTATTAGGAATATTGTATTTGAGCAAGTTTGTATTAGCGTAGATATTCCAAAGTAAGTTTAAAGGAATTGTTTGACATTGTGGGAAACATGCTTATTTGCATTCTTGAGATTTAGATAAGATATACAACACTTTCATGCCTGTTCTTTCAACACATTCTCATCCTGAGTCGTCACATATCCTCCTGCATCTGCTGTTGATGTTAAGAGACGCCACTACCAATGCAGGGACGTCAACCAAAGAACCTAGTTAGGTTAAGGCAACAAAAACATGTGGTTAGGTTTAGAGAAAAACATCATGATTTGGCTCTACATTAATACAGGAAGCAAACACTGGGCTCCCAGGTGAAAGTCCAGGGTTTGCTTAATCCATTTACCACCTCTCCCACCTGCCCTACAGGGACTTCCCAGCTCCTTATATTACATCGTTACCGACAGTGTTTCAACTTGATGCCGTCCAGCAGCATATAATCCTGCCACTACAAATGCCCTCCGGCCGCATTATGAACTGACGTCGCCCATCCGTGCATCATACTGCTGAGACTGGTGCTGACTGGCGACATATCCTAACGCCACTGGCCGTGTTACAAACTGACGCCCCCCGCCGGCGTATCATACAGCTATAAAAGGTGGCTTTTAGTGTCAGGTGTCTGATGCTGAAATCACTGACACAGTATTTGATGACTTTGGAATGAGGACGGGGTGGTTCTTTAGATATAATGATGCAGCCAGGATATAGTTAACTTAGCTTAGCATAGCGTAACGAGTAAAGGCAAGAGTGAAACAATTAGCCTGATTACGTCTATCATTTTTCCAACCCATTGTAGATTAAACCATGTCACCTTCTGCTGTCAATCTACCACAAGCCAGCGCCATTAAAAGAGAATGCTGCTAGCTAGCTAGAGCACCCATGGATAGACCTTGCAGTTTCTCTGTCACACTCACCACTGCTTGGAGACTACAAAGCCAGAGAGTTTGCTAAGCTTTTGGGGAGTTGGGAGGTGGTCAAGCCACTGAAGGTCCATCTCTGTGAAATATGATAGCTGCAGAAAATAGTGATATTGGTAATTTAAAGGGAAATGGTGTTGATTTTTAACCAGCTCTGTGTCACTGCAGTGTGGGCATTGTGTGCAGGTAAAAGTCTGTGTGGCAAAACTCCACTAGCAAATGAGTGCTCATGGCACAGGGAGAAGCCAAACATCATTCATCTGCCCCAAGTGTGATCACAGGGCTGGTAAAAATCAAAGGTTCTGCAAAGTTTCCCTTTAATAGTTGTAGCAACTTAAATTCAGCCAGCACAGGGGAGGCATACGTATGAATATAAGACACATAGTTACATAAAGGAGGTAGAAGGGGATTGAAACCCAACATCCTGCCTCTAAGGAGAAGGAAAAGAGGGGGTAGAGTTCCTCAGTTCTTTTTGGCAAGGGTGGCATTCAAAGCCACTGTTGAACTCAACTCTGTGCCAACATAGCGAGTAGGAAGTACTACTTGCAGCAGTAGGCTTGAAGCCAATCATTAAGCCGAAAGTCTGGCAGCCTGCTTTTATTATGTCCACGTGGGTGTGGTTTAATATAAACTGGGTTGGAAAAACAATAAATGCAGTCCACCTCTGTCCAAATGTAAAAAAAAAATATCCACCTTTCAGCGCCTCTTATGTTCACTCATTAACATGATGTATCTTGTTTGTTTAATATGGACAACCAAAGTCTGAGTATTAAAAAAGCCTGATTAGATTTTTGGGCCAAAACCGATAGCTATTGGGAAGATAAAAAAAAATCTGATAAGGACATATAAGGATATATTGGCAGATACTGAAGGATCCCTTCGTTTTTAATTTCTTAATTTGTTTGTAACCAAGATACACTCCCAGCAGGTCACAGTTAAATAACTTGTCAGTTTATTTGTCATTCTATGCTCAACAAACTGTGTTATGGTTTCTTAACCTCAAACCTAGTTTGACATCTCTTCACTGCAACTGTTGCTGCTAACATACACCAATAATGAAATACTTTGTCTGCAAATTAGCTTCCTGAACATAACTCCTTGTAAGCAACAACAACAACAACAAAATATGAGGTGTTAATTAGTGGGATTCAGAGGTGCTGGTAGGAAGACAAAGCCAGGCTAGCTGTTTCCCCCTGTTTCCAGTCTTTATGCTAAGCTAACAGTCTCGCAGCTCTAATTTCATATTCGGATAATGTTGCATTGATCTTCACATCTAACTCACAGAAAAAACAGAAATAAACATATTTCCCCAAAGTTCAAACTATTCCTTTGATAACAAGCGTTCACTTTGTTGGATTCTGTTACCCCACCTATATCTCCGTTGTCTTGTGTATGAAGGTGACAGTTCTGCTCTGATAATGTCAGAGGAACACTATCCGCCCTCTCCGGACATCACAGCTGTCAAGCCACTGTCGACTCAAACAAATCTTCACCATGTCAGCCACATCCTCAGCCCACTCACACACAGCTGCTCCCCACGAAACATGTTGCAACAGAAACGCAGACAATAGCAGAATCTGTCCTGGAGATGACAGGGTGCAAACAAATGGGGTAATTATTCATTGTCTAGAAAAATCTATAAAAATCTATATTTGTAGAAAGTATCATGCATCACTGTTGATACAGAAATGATTCAGAGTAATCGAGGGTTTGACTTCAGCCACAGCTTCTGTGCTTGCATCGAAACGTGTGTGCATTCAATGACCCGCACCTTTATCGAACGCAAACTGGATTTTCCCATGTGACTGAAGATGTGCTGGAATGTGCACTAACTCCTATCTTGTGTGTTTACATGAAAACATAACATCAGCCTGCAGCCAGTGCAGTGAACATGAGGGAATGTCTCTATGTTTCCTTTGGTTGGACAGTCATGTACTGTGCCATGGTATGTTTGCATAAAACAAAGCCACAGTTCCCATGTGTTGCGTTGTTCCTGACTTTCAGGTTGCCATGCTCTCAGAGAAAACATCCTGACCTATTAAAGTGGAATTATTCATGACTTTTGCTCATTCTGAACACTGCAACTCCCCAGACCTCAGACATTGACAACTGACAAAAGTTAAATAACAAAGCAACCTTCTGCCTGAAGCCACAGGATCTTTCCCTCTCCACTTGTTATGTATGACACTTATTTTACTGTCTCACACCTTCTGCTCACTCTCCAAACCTGTTTCCTTTCCTCTCCAGCTCGTTTGCCATGTCTAAGACAGCAGTGAAGAAGCTGCACTGGCGTTCCAAGGTGCAGGACAGCTTCGTCCCCTTGCTGGGCTCGTCGGGGGAGCTTGGGATCGCTGTTGGTGGAGGAGCAGATTATGGAGAGTTTCCTTTTGTCACGTCGGCTCCGGGGGGTGGTCTCACAGTGGGGGATATCGTCCTAGAGATTGGGGGAACACCGGTATTAGGGATGACATTAGGAGATGTCCGAGGAATCCTCAACTCCTGCCCACACCCAATCCGCATCAAGACTGTGTCACCAGGTATGACTCAGCACAATAACTCACCCCTCTAATAATTTATCCGCAGTTCATTGTTTTGATAGATGTGTAAATAATCACACAGTCAAGGAAAGGTGTGAACATGACAGGCCTCTCCTTCTGCTAATGGCTTTTACTGTATGTATTGCCCATAATAACACACTCAATCTTTAATCCTCTCCCCAGCACTGCAGACAGTTTAACTTGTTGCTGTTAATGCTGCACACCATTGCACCTATTCCATCACACTACACCCAAACAATCTGTTACACTGGTGTCCAAGCTGTCATCCATAAGAATGTTGCTCAATAACCCTCTGCTGACTCTCACAAGCCAAATCTGCAGCCTGTAGCATTCTGATGCTGATTTGCACTCGTCAATTAGTGTGGATATGTCAAGGCAATCGGTCAATATGCGGGTAGGAGGTCAAAATTGTGGCTGACAACATGACAAGCATGTAGCGATATAGTTGTCTGTCACCCGCGAGAGGCCTTGATGTTTAGAACAAGGGGCTGGGGTAACGGATGTCTTTGTTGGCTGCGAACAGAGCAATATGTCACCGGAGTGTCACCTGACCGCCGCTCCCGATGGCCTTGCTTGCCAGATTGATAGCTGATTTGGCCTCAGGGGTGTAAATGGGGACCTTTGCTCCCGGTCCCTCTGCTGCTGGTAGATCCATTATCATTTCTGAAGTCGGCCCAGCCCTCCCTCAGCAGCTTGCGCTGCGTGTAGTGTGCGGACAGTGATGGATGAGCTGATACCCTGGGTTGCTGTAACACACCTCCTCCTACTCACACTCCTACTACAACTCCCTCTGCTCCATCCTCTCAAACACAGGACACTAGGCTGTGTTCCCCAGAGGCAGGGAGGCAGCAGCATAAAGGTCTTAGCACTGATACTGTTGCTCTGTGGACAAAAACAAAGAGTAGTGATTTGATGTGTCCATCAAGTCTCCACAAAGCAAAGCACAGCAAAGCCCTGGTAGCTTTTCTCTGTGTTCCTAATAACCTTGACATCTGGCTGCCTTGCTTTAAAGGGACAGTTCACCCCCAAACCAAAAATACATATTGGTCCTTTTACCTGTAGTGCTATTTATCAATATAGATTGTTTTGGTGTGAGTTGACGAGTGTTGGAGATATCAGCCATAGAGATGTCTGCCTTCTCACGATTATAATGGAGCTAGATGGCACTCGGCTTGTGGTGCTAAGTGCCAAATAATAAATTTGAAACCTGACCTGGTTACTCAAGATAATTCACAGACCTTATTGTGAGCAGTTTCATATATGAACTATTTTCTTTCTACCAAACTTGCCAATGATAACACCACACAGTAGGAAGCGTGCATCTACTCATGGACAAGAGGCTCCTGCTTGTGACAGCACGAGATGTGAAAACTCATGGCATCCTCCTCGGCTGAGCCTCCTCAGTGATGCTAGGTGAGGTAGCAGTAGATGCATGCTTCTCTCTGCACAGCGATATGGGTTGTAGATGTGGTCCGGTAGAAGGAGAATAGTTCCTACATTAAACTGCTCACAACAAGGTCTTTCTATCTTGGGTAAGGGGGTCACGATTTCTGGAAAGAGACATTGCTGTTGGGTTTTTCAAATGTATGTTTTTGGCTGCTTTGAGCACCACAAGCTGAGTGACATCTAATTCCATTATATTGGAGAGAAGGCAGACATCTCTACAGCTGATATCTCCAATTCGCTGCAACCCACACCAAAACAATCTTGTCTGATAAATAGCACTACAAGTAAGAGGAAAATGTGTTTTTGATTTGGGGTTGAACTGTCCCTTTATTGCTGGCCCTGATGTCGAGGTCTCAATTTTGCTCTTCAACAGACTAGAAAACAGCAGCTGTTTCATAACATGATGAACAAAAGCCCATCATTTTCCCTAAAAGGCATCTGGCTGGATTCATTTCCCTTTACAGGCAGCAGCCATATGTGGCCAGTCGTATGTACGTGCAGATGACTGCCTCCAATAATAAAGTTATGCCGCTGTGACGTTTTTTAATAGCACACAGCAAATTCAGTTCGCAGAGCCACTGTAGCAGACGGTGGGGGTAGGGGCCCGACAGGGGCGTGGATAGCTGGGCGGCAGCCTGTTAGGGAAGCACCGACAGAGCAGTCGTCTGTCAGAGTGACAAGCTGGAGATGCTCTCAGCCGATACATAACAGCGAGTGACCTGTCATCAGAGGCCGTAAAGCACTTGAGATGATATTAAGAGATCAGATAGAGGAAGCTGATGATCAGCTCTGCCTCCCCTGGTGACAACAGTTGTGTCTGGAGCAATTAAGCTCAGTTGCTTGCTATCCATATATGCATGAGGGAGTAGGGAAAACACATTTTATGCTCAGGATCTATGACAGGTGATATAGAGAGATCAGTCAGTGTGAATATGAATGTCTAGGTTGTAAAATGATAGTGATAAATCAAGCCCGGCAGCAGTAAAGATTAAAATAAATTTCAGTCTCAATTTGACGGGATGCAAACAAATCTTAGAGTTAATATACAGCATCAGAGTGTTTGTGCTTACTGAGCTGATTTCTTAATGACCCCCCCCCCTTCTCCCTCTCTCTGCTTCTTCTTCTCCCTGACACACTTGTATTTTTGCCCTTCCCTCAGGCTCCACATTGTGCAAGGATCTCAGGTTGTATCTGAGCAAGTGTTTCACACCCGGCTCAGTGGACAGCCAACTCCAGCAGGTCATCCGAGAGAACCTCTACCTCCGTGCTGTACCTTGTAAGTCCCATTTTGTGCTTCTTCTTCTTCTTCTTCTTCTTCTCTCTCTTCTTTTAACTTCCATACACTGCATCTATCTATATACATTGTCTTTTTATGTCCTTTAAGCCGTCTGCGCAGATCTTTGTCCTGTTGCTGTCATGTGCAGATAAATGTATTTCATGTTTAAGCCTAGTATTAAATAAATTATTACTGCGCTCATGTGAACCCATCCAGGCATATTTCTCTTAAGTTACAGACCTCATTAATTCTTTGATAACACCTCTCATGGTTGCTGCCATGTGAATAACTTGGTGTTAATTGGTGTTTAAAGCCTATAGAACTGTTTTCCACACTTCACTGTGTAACTGTATGCAAGCTGAAACTGAGGTGATTTAATGAAATAATGAGAGGGAAAAAAACTTGACACATTATCAGTGCCGGGTTATAAGCAAACTGCAGCCTCTGGGGTGAAAAAAAAAAAAAAAAAGAAGACAAGGAGGAACTGCAGTTCCTTCAGTGGCTGGCTCCAAAAGTGAGTCAATCCCCATAGACCTCCATGTTAAATAAACATGTATACAGCCTGGTACAAAAAAGATTTTGGCTTATTTCCCTGTTCATGACAACTGTACAGGGTTACATTTTTATATGACTTACTCATTTAAATTAGGGATGTCAACGTTTAACTGTTATTGGTTAACTGCTGAGAATATTTTTGACCAGTTTCGTGTCAGCCTATAGGTTAATTTTGCAACTCCTCAGTTTACTGCACTGTGCACCAACTCAACGGGATCTAGGAAGACAGAAGACAGACAGCTGGCTAGCCGTGTTAACATGCAACACAGGGCCCACTGCCCACCCTCCAGTCTTTACTGGTCGGTTAGAGCTAGCTTGCAGTGCTGGTCTTTCTGTTATTACTCCCAGTTAACGCTGTCCCGACCCAACAGCGTTGCTGTGTAAACACTGTTCCCACCCTTTAGCATTGTTAACTATGATACCACTTTTAGCTCTGTTAGCAACGTTAGCAGTGTCAGCACGGCCAGTGGTGCTGACATAGTTAACAATGCTTAGGTGGTTTTTGCAGATCAGAATGAAGCCACTTGCTCACTGGAATTAACTGGGAGGGTGACCGCCATGTTTCTCAGCTGGTGACTGAGCAGTGCCACTAGCTAGCTACCACCTGACCCAACTGATGTGCAATGAAGAGCAGCAAAGACCTACATTAAGTAACCAATGTTCACTGGAGGGTTGCTCATCTGGTTCACAAGTTATAGCCAAAATGGTTTTCAGGTGGTGGCCATATTGGATTTTGCTGCCATGGTCATCCTAATGCCAGTCTGCGATACCCCGATATCCAGATGTCTTCTACACATATTAAGCTATATATGTACCAAATGTGGTGCTTTTATCACAAACTAAATGACTGTCTTGATTTTGTGAGCTACGTATGCTAATGCAGTTAGCCAGCTGTCTGTCAGCAAAGCCATCAGGAAATAAAATAACATACATAACATTTATAGGGTGGCACACTGGTACAGTGGTTAACATTGTCGCCTCACAGCAAGAGGGTTCCTGATATGAACCCAGGGTGGGGGACCTTCTGTGCAGAGTTTGCATATTCTCCCCGTGTCAGCGACAGTTTTCTCCAGGTATTCTGGCTTCCTCCCATAATCCAAAAACATGCAGGTTAATTGGTGACTCTAAATGGCCCGAAGGTGTGAGTGTGAATGGTTGTCTGTCTCTATGTGTCAGCCCTGCGATAGTCTGGTGACCTGTCCAGGGTGTACAATGCCTCTCGCCTTGTGTCAACTGGGATAGGCTCCAGGCCCCCACAGCCCCTGACAGGATAAGCGGTTATGGAAAATGAATGAATGAATAAATATAACATTAACATCACAAAACATTAAAATTCCACCACCTCTAAATGAATAACACTTTAAAATGCAGTACTAAAGTTCACAGAGTCAATGGAGTGCCGAACCAAAAGGAAAGTAATTCTTCAGGATTACCAGTTACCAGTTAATGGGTGACAGGCTATAGAGAGCAAAACAAACCAAAACTAAAATCCCTAGTTTAAATATTATTAAAGCTTAAAATTACACATAATTAAGGTTGAGGCTGCTTTAAGTGACAAGCTGTCTGCTGGGCATCACCTCAGGCTCTCAGTCAAATTAACCCCGCAGCTCCTCCCCAGCTCCACCATGTTGTCCAAATATGGCCACCTTGGGTCCCTTCTGTCTCCAAAAATCCAAAATAGTGACAGCCAAAATACTGAACCCGAGGCTTCAAAACAGGAGAGACTAAAATGATAAGTTTAAGTGAGACAGCAGATGCCACAAGTGCAATCTATTTGGACATTTCCATAGCAACCGTCTGTATTGTCACAACACTGGGTTTATCCTCAGTGGCAGTCTCCCCCTTGCAGTCCTCACCCCTGTGCTCCAGGCTATTACTTTGTTTGGTTGGTGGTAAAATGGTATTAAACGTGATGGTAGTTGTATTTGACAGGTTCTTTTTATTAGCGCAGCTTTTGTATCATCCCCTGACAAAGAGCCCTGTAGTCCAAACAAGCGGTTTCATTTTGATGCTTATGAATAAAACCAGGCACAATGGCAGCCAAAGGCAGCTAGTTGTAGTACATCTGTTGCTATCTTAATCCTCTATAACATGACGTCACCGGACAGGACGAGAGGATCTAGCAGCCGTTGCAGGGTTTTCTGAGAACGATCTGTGTGTTTGATATAATTTTCCGACTTGTGTTGGTCTGTTTGGCTTTTGTTTTTTTCTTCCCCTGTGCAGGTGGTCGTACGGAGAAGACAGACCACCTAGTGTGTGTAATCTTAACCTTGCTGTGGCAGTGTGGAGTCGCTGCTAATCTCTCCTTTAGTCCAGGAAGTAGGTCATGTGGGACAGTCTGCCACCATGCCGCACAGCCCACTCACTGACAGAACAAGGCACAGGTCAAAACTCCCAGGGAAGATAAAACTGTCTCGCTCAGGATGCAACATGCATATTCATATTATGGTATAATAGCAGTTTTATTCATATCAAGCTTTGTTATTACTTAGCCCTACGTCTACAAGCAGCTGCTCAGGGAGTGAATTGCCCAAATAAACAGGAGTGCTTTTATCCATATCAGAGTATGGATAAAGAGAAGGGGATGGAAGAAAGAGGATTTTCATATAGAAAATTTAGTCAGGGAAGATTGTAGACATTGTGCTAAAGACACTGAATTTATTGGCACGACAGGGCTGGGCAAAATGGAGACTATCAAATATCACATCATTGACAAAATACCTCGATATTGATATTGCAACAACATTGTAGACAATTGGTGCTTTCACAAAATATTCAGACGATGAGATTTTTGATAAATAATCATCAGTAATTTGGATGTAATTACTAAATTGTTAAAGGAAGTTCAGAAAGTTACATCACTTTACTATAAAGCAGCCTTTAAAACAAGGAAAAGACAACACTTACAGTATCTAAAATTTAAGACGATACCTAGTATCATAAAATAATACCAATATATTGTCCCGCCCTGTGGCAAGGTATTGTAATACCCTACATAAAGCTGTCCGGCTGCTAGTGGTGTCAAACTTTGGAAACAACTTCCTTCCTCTTAGTCCTTTTTTTAGTGAGACTGACAACAAGGCAGGCTCAGCTCACGAGTGTGTAATCCTCTGATCTGCTAGAGATGTCACAGCAAGATGCTGTTGTTCTCATGCCGATACCAACACACGCATGCTTTCCTGATCCCGAGACGGCTCGGAAACCATCACGTCTCATTTTTTCAGGCCACTTATAGATATATAGGAGCGGATCTTTTTTGTCCTTTTGTTGTTTTTAATCGAGGAGGCAGCTGTGCTCGATGTGACAGGAACTTGAAGCTGAGGAGTTTTCATCAGTGGCTCATTGTGGCCCCCTTCAGGATCATATGTATGTTCCTCCTTGTTTCAGGAGAGTCCTTGCTGCTGTTTGCTGTTTTGTCAGTAATTAAAACTTTGCATTACCTGAGATGAAGATAAATTAGCATGAGAGGCTCATGAAACAAGGCTTTAAATATTTTTTTACTGTAAGGAATCAAAGATAGCATGACGAGGACTCAGTTTTGATTTGTATTTGCTTCATTTAGATGCTATTTCTTCTTCTGAAACGGTGCTATTTAGAGAGTATGTCAGTCCCTGAATCCTTTTGATGAGACAATGTTCTCTGATGTTGGAGCTGGCACTGATGCAAGAAATATCATTACAAAGGCTCAGTCAGGAGGGCAGTGCATAAAAATGGAAATGAATGACAGAATTAAGTAAATGCAGGCTACTGTATCAATAATCTAGAGGGGGGGGGGAATTAAATTAAAAGCAAATGTCTATCAGTGCCAAAGTGGAGGAGGGGCTGACTGTAGTGTAATGGCTCTGTGTGCTCGTACTGAGGCAGGATGCTCACTGTGCGGCCTTTGGGGAGCAGGTAAATGTGTAGACAAACAGTGATATAGTGTATGTTCAGTCCAGTTGAACAAACCATTTTATATGGCACAGCTTTCTGTTTCATGAGCATCAAAACTACCCTTTTTTGTTTCCTCATGCATATAATTTCTGTGTGCAGGACCTTACATTACCCTCCTGAACTTTCCCATCCATATTTGTATAATCGCTCTAACCATTTGCACATGTGCCCTTGGATGATTCAGAGCCAATGTCATGGTTTCAAGGCTGGCTGTGTCTCTCTGTCTCCTCCATAAAAGACTTTCCTAATTGTCTTCAGAGTGAGTCAGAGATAAGAAACATCATCATTTAGTTATTCTAATATGCTCGCTCCAGTGTTGTCAGGCAGACCGTCTGTGGCCTTTTCAATTGTTGGGATTCTTTGTTAGCTATTTCTGTGCAATGATCGTGACAGACAGCTCTCTCTGGGTGTTGATACAGAGTTCTGTGTAATTACCTCTTCAATCCCTACCTCACCCCTCTCCCGGGGGATCAGTGTGCGGCGCCTACAGGGACAGGCGGGGAAGAAGAAGATGTCAATAATCCATCCTGTCCCCCCGCTGACATGCCATATATATTTCCGAGGAGGGTGCATAGATAATGAATCCCTGCCTTGCACCATATCAGCTGGAGAGAATCTGTGTGTCCTGAGGGGAGGAGAAGAATTACACTCATGTCAGATGTCATCAGGAGATTTGCTATCAGATCTTTAATTAAACGCAGAGACCTCTAATTTCCTTTAGTATCTGTTGGTTTTTGGCGTTGCAAACACAACCCGGGTGCAGCGTGGCGCAAAGTGGACTGAATACATTATACAGCATCAGCAGGTAGAGCCGGGTCGAACTACAATGATGGCCAATCGCATAAGCATCATTTCATCCCCTTTAAAAGCATCAGACAGTTTCTTAATGAGCCACGAAGTGAGGGTCAAACTTCTCTGGAGAAAACTGTCTCTTCTCTGGGAAGCACAGAGGACAGGGTCTATGAAGTGTGCCAGGCATTTCTTAGAGGTATACTGTGCAGGATTTTCCTTAAAAAAACAATATGTAGACTCATACAAAAATAATCCTTCTCAATCATCAGTTTTGAGCCACTAGAAGAGTGTGGCTGTCTATTTATCTGCAGTGACTCTGTCCTCTGCCTGTATTCTCTTATTTTCTTCTTATTTTGCGCTGTTTTGGGAGTTCCTGGGCACAGAGGGCAGGTGTGATTGGGAGTTTATAAAAAGGTAGCGACCAGGGGTCTCATTCCGTAACACTGCGTACACACAAACGATGCCTGAAAGAGGCGTAGGCCACTTCCCACACAATAGCTGCGATGTTGGGAGAAACTTTGACCCAAGCTTACGAACATTTTGGAGACAGAGATGGTGAGGTGGAAGAATGATTGTAGAAACTGACAAATATTTTTTGGTGCACACCATTTTTGGCTTTTGTCCATACGTACATTTTTAGTATGGATCCTGCACATTATTTTATAAATGAGACTCCAGGTAACAGAGTGTAAGAGGCACACATCCAAAAGGAAGCTAAAATTGCGGACACAGTGAAAAGTGAGGTGAAATACTGAGTGGACAAAGCTGGGGTTGGCTTTTACTTTTGTTGGCAATAGTGTTTACAACCGTAGCAGACAATTCCAGCATAGTATACCATTAAAGGAACAGTGTGTAAGATTTAGGGGGATTTAGTGGCATCTAGTGGTGAGGATTGAATGGTCATTGTTCAGGAGGTTTTTGCCGGCTTAGAGGAGAATTTTGCTGCTCACGATAGTCTTTTCTTTGTCTCATCAGAAAAAAATCTTCTTTTAATTTGGAGATTAATAAAAAGCCTTGTTTCCACCAAGCAGTAAGGTACGGTACATTTCAGTTAGGTTCAGTACCCATTTTTTCCGTTTCCACTGTGAAAAGTTGTGGATGGTACCAATGGAACCGTTCCATAACGTCCCCATTTTTGGTCCCCCCTCTGTTCGGGTACCTAGCACACAGATCTGGTGCTAAAAGGTGCTGTGAACCCTGCAGTCGGTTGACTGGTCAATAGTGGACAGTTTTGCAGCTTATGTAACCACTGATCACATTGAGAGAGTTAGAGTTCTTTTGCTTTGCTCACAGGCTTCTCAGGGGTTCCTCAGCTCTGAAAACAGATACAATACACAGAGTTGAGACTTGAATTTGATCACCAAGACAAATTTCTGAAATTGTGCAGGCTCATTTAAAGCCAATCAAGTTTCCTTTTGGATCTTACTGTTATCTCCAGAGCTGATTTTCTCAGACAAATACGATTAATCCAGTGAGAGAGGAAAAATAGCATTTTAAGATCTTAAATTAGACTTGGGCTGAGACAAGAGGATGGCTGTATCTCAGGAGCTGAATTTAAGAAGTAAGAGAAAATGGTCAAAATCTAATATTAATGTTATGTTAAGCTCAGCTATGTCTAGGAGAAACAGGCTGGACAAAAGAAGAGGAATTTTCCTTTCCTCTAGGGTGGAGCTGAATTATCCGCAGCGGTCTCCACCTCCTAAAAAAAAAAAACCAGACCAGGTGATTTAAACCAATAAAAACACTGAATAAAGCAGTTTCACAATAAAAAAAATCAGTGTTTTTCTGATGCTGTTCGTCATGAAGCGGCTGCAAAAACACACATGTCCCTATCTAGAGCCAGTGTTTGGTTTCTCCATTCTGGGCAACTGTAGAAACATGGCAGTGCAACATGACGATCTCTATGGACGAGGACCTGCTCCCTATGTAGATATAAACAGTTGATTCTGAGGTAATGAAAACACAACAGTTCTTTTTTTCAGGTGATTATACACTAAAGAAAACATACTTGTTGTATTATATTCCATTCCTGCCAATGTATCCCCCTAAATCCTACACACTGGGCCATTAAGCAAAAATGCAAAACCATTCAGTGGTTCCAGCTTCTAGCAAAATTGTGACGGCCATTTTTCACTATTGACCAAATGACGAATCGATTACTCAAGAAAATAACTGACAGATTTATCAATAATGTTGGTAAATATTTGTTGGTTTCAGCCCCTAACTCTACATGTAGCCATGAAAATTGCCTTTTTCATTGTCTTTTGCGCGAAGAAATAATCAGAGCAGGTGGAGACAGAGGCACAAGAAAAGAAAATAGCATGACAGCTGCTGGCTGTAGCTGCGAGCACAAAATCAGAGGCCTGTGCCTCTTCCTCTGTGGCTGACCAGGACACATACTGTACAGTAAACACACTGTGCTACAGAAAGAAGAGGTCAGATGGAAGTGCCTCATGCTGTGTAATGTTTATGTGCCCAGTCCTTGTGTCTACATGTGTGAGTTGGCTGTAGTGTGTGTGTGTTTGCATGCAGCCCTGCATGTGTCATTGTGGCTGGGAGTGCAGCTCCCAGGACAGCGGTGCATTAATCATGGGTTTTATAGGGTAGCTGGGTGTGACTCCCTCCTGCCGGCCCTGTGCTTACATCACATGTGGTCCCTCAGGAGAAGGATGGAGATTTTGTCCTCAGTTTGGGCTTGGTGTGATTTTTGTCTCGGGAAAGGAATTACTTGTCTCAAGGTCAGAGCGGGCGCCTCGTAGTTCAATTTGCAAATTAAGATTACTCCACCAGATCTGAGATAATGAGTAATATAAAAATGTGATATATTTCACAACCACATGTCTGCACATGTGTGGTAGGAGATCTCGGTGGAACAGAGCAAACAAACACTGAGCCTCTGTAATGATGCTTTTCCTCCTGTGGTTTAGACTCTCTGCTCTCTTGCAGGCCAAGGTCAATGTGAATCAATTCTGATGACAGACCATTGATCATCTGAGTGCTCCATCTTTACAATGGTGATAGAAAGACTTTAAGACTCTCACAGTGCCTCATTAATGTTTAATTCTGTCCTTATTGATCTGTTCATAATAAAGAGGCCCTGGTAAATTTCTACCGTCATCATTGCGCTCCTCAAACTAAAGGGCAAATTTGGGTTTGTGGGTGAATGTTCTGTTGACCTGCGACTGACTTACAAGAGCACAGTGCTGCAATTACAGAGGTCACTTGGTATTTTCATGATCAATTAATATTCTAATTAAATTTGTTAATTCCTTTTAAGATTGTTCATAACTTTAAATACAACCAGAGTAGATCCATGACATTGTTACCTTTCAATAGAATATGTAATTTGTCAAACACTTCTACTTGGACTATTTATAGTTTGCTGAGTTGTTGTTTTGTTTAAACACTAAACTAAGATTCATGACCCCCGATGAGAAGAAAAAGGCCGTGATTAATTGACATGTCATCCACGTGAGAGCTTGCAGTATTTCTATCCTTGTGGCTCTGATGTATGACATAATACTTCCTGTTGTCTCGCTCTTCCAGGTACAACCAGACAGCCCAGAGATGGAGAAATATCAGGGGTAGACTACAATTTTGTCTCCATCGAGGAGTTCTTCTCCTTGGAGGAGTCAGGAGCGCTGCTTGAGAGTGGAAAGTTCAAAGGTGAGGTTGACCCTACTATCAGCACCTCTAAGGCTCAATAATTAACAAAAACTGAGATGTTAAAACAACGAGATGTGGTTTTACAGGTGTTGGGCTATTGTCTACTTGCACAGTGTAGTGTGACATACGAACTGCATGTCTGATTACTTCCTGTAAACTCCACAGTAACATTACCTTCACCTCCAACCGTAGCAATCACAGTAATATGTAAAATGACCACAATCTGTTAAGACCCCATTACGTGGTGGTGGTATGTATTATTTTGAAATTATGTGCTGGAACCAGTGGATCAAGTCAATTAGGATCCTTTGTTGTGTGGCCACATGAATTCCCTTGTTCATCGACATCATCCAGTTGCCGATAGTTAATGCTGCAACCCCATAGGTCCCTGGTCAGGGTGATAATGGGTCAACAAACATTAGTCTTTCGCTTTAGAGACCGCTGTTCATGTCCCATGTGGTACTGACAGTCAGCGTGGATTTGTTTTAACTTAACGTTTATGTCCTTTACATATCAGATTATGTGATGTATTTAAGTCACTTTATGGTGTACTTACATCCTGTACATAAGGAGAGTAGTTATTTCAGCCGCAAACAAGTTCTTTCTCTAAACCTAACCAAGTCGTTTTGGTGCCAAACCAAACCGTGCCGCCACTACATAATTTCAACACAATGTGTGCTACCACAATGTAGTGCAGTGTTCAGAAGTTGTGTAACCTGAGGATTCGCAATGTGTGGTGGTTGGGTCCTTCTTGTTGAGAGTACACAGCAGGATGGAGACAGATATTCTTTTCAGCAGAACTTTACTATTCTCCACACTTCAGCAGCTTCACCACAACATCATTATTTTCTGGTTACACTTCCTTGTTATGGGTCGCATGTCTCTTAACTGACCAATGAGAAGCTAGAAGGACTTAAATTGAGGTAAATATGTGTGAGAATTACTGAGGCAGGTCCAGCAAATTATTTAACTATTTTTAACAATGCTGCTGCAAATATTTTAATATGTAGATATGGAAATAAAAGTAATTGTGAACATAAATGTGTAGTTACATTACTAAAACACATGAATTAACTTCACTTGTAAACCTTACAGCTGTGTTCAATTCACATACTTGTGACACTTTAACTGTTAGCTTTGTACATATTGTTAATATTTACCATTGGTTTTTGTATAGTGGTTTTGATCATTTTGAAAATCACCTGTGTCATAGATAACCGTTAGCAACGTTAGCTAGTCACTCAGTGTAGCACCAACGTTAGCCTGATTTTCAGAGCTAGCTCACCAAAGTGAGGTCGCCATGCCTCTTTTTAAAAAAAAAACAAAAAAAACGAAGAAATAAAAGCTTGGAAGAGCTGCCAAAAAATAAAGTGACTAAACTATCTTGCCTAAGCGAGCAGTAAAGCTACATCAAGCTGACAGCCCTCTTCATAAACTTGACTGTGCTTTTGTTTATTTTAGTAGCCAGCTCAGTAAACAACAAACAGTAACGTTAACTTACTGTTAACAATGTGTACAAACCTAATTGCAAAAAGTGAAGTAACTAACTTAAGGATGAAGAAGTGCTGTGTCGGAGGCAAAGGTAACATTTGTATATAGTTGACAGGAAGTTAAGCAGAGGACACTTTAACAGTTTTGTGTATTTTGTCAATAGTATTTATTGTTTGTTTTTGTAAATAGTGGTTTGCTCATTTTGCTAAACATCTCACTGTCTCAGATGATAGCTACGTTAGCTAGTCACTCAGTGTAGCACCAACCTTAGCCTGATTTTCAGAGCGAAGATGACATTTTTCAAAGTTAGCTTTTCACATACCATATTCTTAAAAGTATTTACTGTTTGTTTTTGTATATAATGTTTTTGATTATTATAACCTCAGTATCTTTAATATCCATTAGTGACTTTAGTTACTCAGTGTATCACCCACGTTAGCCTGATTTTCAGAGCTGAGCTAACGCAAGGATGCTTGGAAGTGCTGCCAAAAATTAAAGTGACATGTACACTATCGTCTTGAGAAAGCGAGCAGTAAAACTCAGTAGGACTGACCGCCCTCCTTATAACCTTGACTGTGCTTTTCTTCATTTTAGTGGCCAGCTCTGCTAGCTGACTTGCTAACCTCGCTATTGAATACTGCTAACAATGTAAAGCTCAAAAGTGAAATAACTTGCTTAAGGCTGAAAAAACACTGTGATTGCTAAGGTTGTCGGTAAAGGTAACATTACTGTAAAGTTGACAGGAAGTTAAACAGATGATATTTTTAGCAGTTAGCTTTTCACATACCCTATTGTTAATAGTATTAAGTGTTCGTTTTTGTATAGTGTTTATGGTTAATTTGCCAATCACCTCAGTGTCTTTGATAACCGTTAGCGATGTTAGCTAGTCAGTGTAACGTTAGCACCAACGTTAGCCCGATTTTCAGAGCTTAGCAAACGCTAGATTGCTTGGAAGTGCTGCCAAAAATTGCGAAAGCCCTCCTTATAAACTTGACTGCGCTTTTTTTTATTGTAGTTGCCAGCTAGTTAGCTGACTGGCTAACCTTGCTATTAAAATGTTCGTAGATATTAAATGAGAGGTGATTACTATTAACACTGTGTACAAAGCTAACTGTAAAAGGTTAAGTAACTAATTTATGAAAAAACACTGTCGTTACTTACCAAGGTTGGAGGTGAAAGTAACATTACTGTAGAGTAAACAGACATGCAGTTTGTAAATACATCTGACGTTGTGCAGGTAGAGAATTTCATGGCCAGGTGCAGTGACTTCTTTGAGTCTTTGTGGCTGGTTGCCTGGCAACCTCACGTTGATGACAAAGAAGATAAAAGTTGTTAATTAGTGAGCTGTAGAGGTGCTGGTAGGTGTATTTTGTTCCATTTGGACATAGCCAGGCCAGCTGTTAAAAATAAAGAACATTTATTGGCAGTTTTAGTTGTAATGAATGAAATTACACAGTTCATAATAGGGCAGTCTGTTACCATCTCTTTATGCATATTAATGCCATCAGGTGTTACTCAGCTCGTATCTTCCCCCGCAGACTCCTCCTCCTCCACCCCTGTAAGGGTCAGAGTGCTGCCTCTGATTAAAAAGCCTCCATACATTAGCATCCATAATTTATAAGAGTTTAATGGGAGCAATAAATGTCATCCTCACTTGCCTTCCATGTGACATTGACAGACACATCACTACAGCAGAGCAATCGGGAGCATCAGTAGTGTTGTAGCCTGCAGAAACCGCAGCAAATGGTGACGGCTGGTGACCTTGTTGCGGAGTTCAGTAATCTAATGTTTCCCCTCCACCCATTTGGTTCTCCATGAGCCAAATGGAGGGGTGGAGGTAATTTCATTTCTTCTTTAGCAGCTGGAGCAGATGGCTAGAACTGGCAATGTAGAATATATACAGTAGATGATCTCTTGGGATACATCATGCACATACACAGGCATGTTGTACGTATGTGCTGTTGGTGTGCATAATGACATGATCCCAACCTGCTACTGGATATCTGAATTTGAAATCTTTTATTTCATATCAGCTGGAACTCAGTAACATGTTAAAGCAGACTGTGTGCTGTTATTGACCACCTTTAGATTAATGTCAATACATTTTGTTTACAACACACAATTTTACAGTTTAGTGTGTTTACTGCAACCCCATTTCTCAAGACGCCTTTCTCCTGTCCTTCTCTGTCTCAGGGAATTACTACGGCACACCTCGGCCCGTGCACATCAGTGCAGAGAGCCCCCCCATCACATACCAGGAACACCGCAACCTGCTCAGAAACTTCCGCACACGCAGCAAATCGCTCAGCAACCTGGAGAAGGCTGCAGAGGACGGCGAGAACAGCGAGGACGACTCAGGCCTGTCAGGCGAGTACCACTAAACCTGGTCTATGTGACAGCGTGTGTGGGCAAGGTCATACATGTAAAGTGGAGTTACATAATTTATTGGGGTCCTTTTTTTATACTAATATATATTTTTTTTAGATATATAAACCATATCTCTCAACTTACGCCCTGCACGGTAGCTGCAGCTGAATGCTGCATTGTCCCCCTATCTATAGCTCCAGTCTCTGATACCCAAATTAATCAATCATTTGCACGATTAGTATGCTCTAAACTCTCAGTGGGGCTGTGGCCTCATCGATTGCTGGATCACCTCCAAAGAAAGGTCAGGCTGCCTTAGGTCGAGCAGACACGGAGGTAAGCAGATAGGCAAGTGTGCACACAAGGAGGTGAGTGAAAGTCATGTGATGAGGAAGCAGAAAGTGTTTTAATTTAATCATTAAGCTTAACTAACATGGGAATAGCTAACACGCAGTCGGCATAGATTTTTGTCCTTTAATAAAGGAAGAACATTTTCTGTTTTAGATGTGATTTTAGTTTGGATGACTCATTGTGCCAGACTTTTTTTGTGTGTTAGGAATCTTAAAAGGCTTATTAATCACCAGTGGTGGAAGAAGTATTCATGTATTTAAAGTCAAAGAATTAGATTTTATAGAAACAAAACAAAAGTAAAAGTTATCCAAACTAAGATGCCATTTTTTTTGTTGATAATATTCAAATCAACCAAGTCACTAATGCAAATTTTTACCATTTTTTTTTAACCTCTTCTGCACAATCTTTGCTTTGTGTGTTGTTATATACTTTTGTTTTTATCACTTTCCTTGTGCTAATAAACTAAAGTAATTAAAAGTACCAATACAACAGTGTATTAAAAAAACTATTAAGAAAGGTTATAGTGTTGTAGTGGTAGTGGATGAGGTGGGTGTACTACTAGGTAGATGGGTAGGTTACTATACACTCTCAAAAAATGTGTTTGTTACATTAAAGTGTTTTGATCAGCGGACAATTATTTCAATAAGTTGGTCAAAATCAAAAACATTATTTACATTTTGGAGTAAGGTTGAGTGAAAACAATAACTTAGAATATCTTTAAATAAATTAAAATTAAATTAAATAATTAGACCACTAAATATCACCACAACCTTTGGATAAATATTAAATTGGTGCAACTTAATTAAGTTTTTTGTAGTCAAAGCAAATCATGTTGGTTATACTAAACTGAGTTTGTTAGATTATAAAAGACTCATTTGGATTATTATTGGACTCAATAACACCAGAGTTGGAACTATTTAAAAAGATGCAAGCAAATTTCTACCTTAATTTTTTTTAAGTTGAATCCGTGGATTCTTTTTTTGAGTGTGAGGTGGAAGTGGGTATATTCTCCTATAAACTCCAATGGCTTTTTGGCTGATAGGTAAATGCTTTAAACAGCCTGAGATAGAGGTGGGTATACCCTGTATACCTGCACATACACCATCTACTACACCACTGATTATCAGCAAAATGCACTTAATAGTATCAAAGTGAAAGTACTTGCAGAAAAATGTCTCCTATGACTGATAATTTAGTCCAGTCATCCCCAACCCAGGAGTCAAGCCCCCTTCCAAAGGAGGTCTGAGGGGTCGTGTGATGATTAATGTGGCTGGAAAACAAAGTTCTGCTTTAAAAATGTGTGTTCGTTTTGTGACGTTTCCTCTAATCTTTGCCTTTTTGTGAAATAATCATTCATTTGACTTCTTTGAGCCTTGAACATTTATTATTAGCTGCAACCAGCAGCTCTGTAGCTCAGTCTTTCAGTCGTTTGTTCGGTCCACAAAAATGTCTCCCCCCTTTGGCAGCCAGTTTTTGCCCTAGGAGGCTGACATTTGGCATGGAGGTTGCAGCTATTGTGAATTCACTCTCTTTTAAATGAAACCAACTGAGAGGTATAGAGAGGAAAGCTTTCTATGGTGCAACTGCATCTGAAATGTGACATAAGGGCTCAACTAGATGTGACATTTTAAGAGAGGATCACAAGCCAGAAAGGTTGGGAACCACTGAAATTAATTTTTGATAATATGTGACATTTAATAAGGTTATGATGGGGTCAATATCAGTCAAATAAGTGTGGAGGGAAAAAAGTATAATATTTTATAAAATGACATTGCAGAAAATGGAAAAACTCAAGCAAGGCACCTCAAAATTGTTCTTCCCTTCCTGTTTATCGTGTCATCTATGCAGATAAAATCATGAAAGCAATGTTGGAGAAGTAATGGCAACAGGAAACTAGAGCACACAAACTGAACAGAAGGCAAGTATGAGATTAGATGGTTAGGGTAAGGAAGTGAGGCAGCGACACAGGGTGGTGGTGGTGGCAGGTAGGGAGGCTGAGTGTTAGGAAAGGTGGAGGCAGGGAGCCAGAACGGTACAGCAGATAAGAGAGAGGAGGGCAGAGTGGGAGGTGAGAAACGCAGGCGGGCAGAGATCCAGATAGTTAGAGACGTGCTCTAAACAGGCAGGTAGGGCAGCAGGCAGCCTGGATTGTTGAGGGGGGTGAATGCAAGATGCATGCAGGATGGAGTTTGAGAGAGCCATCCAACACCCTGACCTCTGCTGAGTCATCTTCTGAAGTGATACCATGTGGGCGGATGGGTTCGGCAGCACTTGTCGAGTACAGCGGGACTCAGGACGCCCCATGTTATGTCCTACATCTCCTAGATCCATGCTGAAGGACAGCTACAAGGACAGCTTGGCAAAAAATATGCTTATTTTTCTGCTGCTGGTCGTGTGGTATGCATGGTCACACGCTCTGCCTCCTTAGAGGCAGGACAAAGCTGGCCGAGATGCTGACCTCAGTTCTTTTTGCTTGACATGGAAGTGGCAGCATCAGGTCGTTACAGATTGCAAAAGAAACTCTTTCACCTCCTGCATGTGTTAAATAATATATCACAGTTTGATTGCGGTTTTAACACTCTGTCTTGTCACTGTAATTACAGGAGGCTCTGCAGGTGTCAGCAGCGTCCCTCCGAGCCATCGCTCTCCTGGGCGGCCCCGGGCATCCAGCAGCGGGGATGGTCGCATCATAGAGAACGGGATCATCGGCAGCAGGAGTGGTGCCAGGTTGAGAGGTGTGATGCCCGATCACTGGGAGCAGGCCTTCAGTGACCCCGGAGAATCTCACTACATAGAGTGAGTATCTGCCTGCTCCTCACAAATCTGTTAAAGGAATAGTTCAACATTCTTAGGGATACACTCATTTACCTTATTTGCTTTCCTGCTGAGAGTTAGACAAGAAGATCGATACCACTTTCATATCTCTTCACTAAATATGAAGCTGGGGGAGAGTGTTAGCTTAGCTTAGCATAAAGACTGGAGACGGGCAAACAGCTACCCTGCCTTTTTCTGAAGGTAAAACCTACTAGCACCTTTAAAGCTCAGATTTGACATGTTAAATATGTTTGTTTTTCCTGTACATAAAGTTAAGTGCAAAAACAAGTGTGGTGTGAAACAATGATTACCTGCTAGCTCGCAGCATACATGCTAAAACACCTTTTAACATTTTATGTGGCATTTTCTTTTGAAGTGATTTAGCCATCTGAATACCAGGGCTCCAAAACAGGTTCTTCTCCTGATGCTGTTTTGCAAGGGCACCGTCACTGCATCCTAAACTTTGTCTGCGTCACCAAAGATGATCGTGATTGGTTTTAAGAAATACAAACAACCCAGACCCCTTTTTCCCTCATTCCCTTTCTCCAGCACTGGCAGCTCTCGTGAGATAAGTCTGGCTATGCTCTTGTTTTTAATGATCTATTGTTTTTAATGTATTTCTCTTGTAAAGCACATTGAATTGCCTTGTGTATGAATGGTGCTATATAAATAAAATTGCCTTGCCTTGCCTTGCCTTATACAAGGCTACCCTTACCTTAACCTGAGCCAAGGGGTGCAGCAATACATTGATCAGGACTGCTGTATCAATTCAGTTATCAATGATCCAATGTTATCGACGCAAAGTGAAATATAGATACATATCATAATCTTTAAGATACACATTTTTGTTTAAGTTTCCCATGGTATGTCTTTGTCACCATTTCCTTCCAAGTGCACGTCCTCCCTAAACATTCGAACAACGGCCTCACACAAAGCAAAATCAAATCCAAATCATCATCAAATTAAAATCATATCATGGCAGACTTTGTGATATCAGCAAATATCAGATCATTGTCTAAAGAATAAATATAATATTGTATCATAATAAGACTTGACATGATTTACTCCTTGAGTTCAAATGTCAAACCTCGACAAGCTGCTTTCTTGGATGTTAAAGTTCATTCCTGTCTTACCCTAATGACTACCAGTCAACTCTATGATGCCTAACCGTAACCTAACCTATGATCTAACCTCAGCGACAGAGGTCAGCAGTACAAGAAGCACTATTCTAAGGGAAAACAAACTTTGGCACAAGACCATAACTCCCCTAGGTTATTGTATTTGCCCTCAGTTTTTGTGTGGATTAAAAAAAGATTAAGAATTATAGCACGTTTTTTACAGAGCTTTAGAGGTGCTGTTTGGAAGTGTTCATGTTTACATAAGCTAAAGCTAATTGTCTGCTGGCTCCAACTTTATATTTAACACACAGACCTGAGAGTGGTGTAGATGCTCTCATCTAACATTCAGCAAGAAAGTGAATATGCATGCTTCCAAAAATGTCAAACTATTTCTGTAGGTCATAGTTCATTAACATGTTCTGAGTACAGCAAAAAAGCTGCTATGCAAAGCAAATCTATGGCAGCCGTCTCTGTTAGGAGTGTATTAAATTCAAATGCTGTGGTATTATATTCAATACTATTGTGTTTCTAAAGAGGGAATCTTTTTTTTTTTTTGCTTTGTCTCTCACAGCCGCACCCCAAAGAGGACAAACTGGCAGAGTCCTCGAGCCTCAAGCAGGGAGACCGTCTACAAAAATGAATGTGAGCCTGTTTCTCTCTGGATGTAATTACTGCAACAATTGCGACACATTGAACTGTTGAACAGCCTAAACGAAACCACATAATTTTGTCAAGAACGGAAGTAACAGACAGAGCCAGCCTGTTCGAGTCAAATGAGATGGAATGAGCTTTTTAGCTGAACGGAGACGTATAAGTGATTAAGGCCTAAAGCGCGGAGCTGCTGGCAGAGAGCCAGACTCGCTGCTGCTGAGGCTGGCAGGGGTTGACACGTGGATGGCATGTGACTGGCAACTTAATTTCATAATTTGGGTCACATGACTCGCTGTTATGAAAAAAGAAAAAAAAAAAGGACGTAATCTACTTTTTGATGTCTGTCTGACACGGCTGATTGCAAAACTGTAAGGGAGACATCTGTGACAGTGCTGAGTCCCAGTGACGTGCAGTACACTTCTCTCACCAGCAGAAGGTGATATAATCTCCATTATGGCCACAATTACCTGCATGTGAAAGGATTACTGTAAAATCTGGTACAAATGGACTCCAAACCGACACTGTCGTAATGTGCTGGGGTGGATAAATGCTTCATTCGTGCAACTTGTGATGATCACTGCTCCACTTTACAAACATGGAGCTAAAATAAGAAGCAAGCATGGGAGTAAAAATAAAATATGTAATTTTTCCTGGATTTGGTGATGCAAAGTCAGAATAAACAGTAAATAAGAAGCAGATTGCAGTGCAAAGCCACATCAGTCTCATAGATTATGTGTCTGAATTCAAGGAGGTAATGGATTCTGCTCTTAATGTAGTATTTCCAGCAACACTTTGTATGTGTGCATGTCTATTTATTTATAAGTATTTCTTGTTAAAAGCCATCTGCTGATTGGTTTGCAGTGATCTTTTCCACTCACTCCTAAAACCCGTCACTTTGAACCATTTAGTTGTGTAAACAAACACGACTGACCCATTTTCTTCCTCTGATATTACTATGGTGGCATTTTTTTTAATCCTTGCCGCCTTGACGACGTTTCAGATTTGTCCTTGGAGGTCAGCATCACTAATATCTCATCCTCTCTCTGTCACTGTATTTTTTCGTTGTTGACCAGGGTTCACGGACCAGCCTGTGGAGTTAAGGGGTTTCCCTGTCCACACACATTTGACCAAGGGCTCCAGAGGGTTTGGTTTCAATATTGTTGGGGGCAGCAGGCCAAGAGAGTTCCTCCAGGTCTACAGTGTGACTTCAAGTGGACCCTCAGCACTCAAGACAGGTAGAAAATAAAACAAATCAAGCTAGCTGATATGTCAAAAAAGATGTGTGAGATGACGCCAACTGAGGAGAGGAGGGGACACATTCTCACAAACAATAATATATCATTAGTGATAGTACAAGACATAACTGCAGACTGCAGAGATGGAACCAGGGTTCTTTATTGAAGAAAAGGCACTAAAAAAGTTCCACTAATTTCAGCAATAACACATTTAATTTCCTGTAGATTCATCAAAATAAAAGTCCCCCATTATTTTGTTATGTATAAACTTTTATTGTGAAGCACCAAAATAAGGTAATGTTCACACAACTTGCGAACATTAAACAGTAAAATAAAGCAGATATGTAAAGTAAAAACAGGAAGCAGGAGAGAAACTGAACTCCAAAACACAGAGATTCAGTTAGAAGCTACAAAAGTACTGAGAGCTGAACACACAGAGACTTTAAAAACACCTTTCTCTCTGGTCTCCTGCAGACATTAATGAGAGTTGATTAAGGAAATGAATTAATTAGGGGCACTTTTTAAATATCATACTTTTCAATCTGTGGTCTTGGGGGATGGAGTCATGTTCAAGTCATGAGTCATTGGTGTTGTAGTCCAAGTTGAGTTGCAGGTCTTATGTGATTTTGACAAGTTGAGTAGAAAGTCATCATATTTGTGACTCAAGTGCACGTCAAGTGATCTGAGTCCACACCACTGGCAGCCTGAGAGCTGTAACTATGGTTTACTGAAATCAAACACAAAATATTTTAAGAAACGGTGTGTTTCAGCCGCCTGTCTCTCCAGTTCTCCGTCTCTGCTCGTTGGGATTATACCTCTGGAATTTTCAGATCTCCCGCAGCAAGTGTATATCACAATCAGGCCTTAATCCTCAGGGTCAGCGCACCATAATCAAGCTATCATGACACACGCATATGCAACAGTGCGCATCCACTTTACACACACACACACTCGCACACAAATGCCCATACAGGCAGATATTACCGCTCTAGGAAGCCACGGCACAAGCTGTCTCAGCAGGGGCTGATCTAGTTCATATCTGTTAATAGGTTTAGAGGGATTAGTTGGTTGGATTAGTCCACACCCACACAAAACACACAGACACTGTTTCAGACACTTATCTGCACATTTAAGCATGTGAAAATGGTTGAAAGTTGAAGCAGTGATGTATGAAAACTGATTATCAAAGGTGCAAAAGTGTGTAATTTTGCTGCAGTTGATTAAAAATGCTGTGTATTATAATGACACCTCTGTGTGCTTTGCTTTGTGCTTTATTAGCGGACATCCTGGTGTTCATCAATGACGTTTGTGTGTTGGGAGTGTCTCACAAAGAGGTGGTAGAGATGCTGAAGTCGGTGCCTGTGGGCCACAGTGTGGATGTAGAGGTCAGAAGAGGGTACCCAATGCTCTACAACCCTGACGGTTGTCCCAAGCAGCCCCCGCCAAGGCTACTGGACAGCGGGGAGCCCATCGTACCACCCACCACCACCCAGCCTCAGCCTCTTCACCAACTACCTCGCCTCCCGACACCCACCCCCCACACCCAGCACCTTAACTATAACGGGGTCCACAGTGACGGGAGCTACATGGAGCCAGGGGTGACTCTGGATGCTAATGGGAACGCCATGGCTTTTGCCACCAGACAGCCGGTCTCGTACAGACGCTCCAGTATGAGCAACGCTGCCTCTTCCCCTCCTGTGCGTCCTCCACGTTCCCTGAGAAGTTTAGCACGGCTGCAGTCGTTTGACCCAACGCTCGCCAGCCAGAGTGACAGTGAAGTGGTTTCTGCCATTGGTTCACACAGGTAACACCTACAGTACATGAGTGACACAAAAGAGGTTCCTTCAAAGAGTTTACTGATAAGGTGCATTCATTTGAAGAAGGGCTGGGTGATATGGAGACAATCAAAAGTCATGATATTTTTGATATTGTAAAGTTGACTATTGGTGCTTTCACAAAATATTTACACAGTGAGATCTGAACAGCTGTCTGGTACGTTCAGAAAATGACATCATTTTACAGTAATGCAGCCTTTAAAACAAAGAAAAGACAACACTTAACATATTACAATAACCAGAATCTGACAATATCTGGTCTCATATCAAGATATCGCTATGATATTAATATATTTCCCAGCCATAATTTAGCCTCTAACTTAGGGTTTTACCAGTTACGTACTATTCAGAAAATCAGGGAAAAAAATGCATCTTGTTTTGCACAGGCTGCAGGGACAGGTAAGAAATGTAAGGTACAGGTAGTTTATTAGTTAGTGTACGGGTTCCTAAACATTTCCATGCTAAGGTCCCCCAAACGGAAGTAGCTTATAGACAGGGCCCCCTTTTTGCAAAATGTCTTTGATGCCAAGATGCCATTGACAATACTACGACAAATAAAAACACAACTTGTATTCCCTTACTTTCATTAATACATAGTGAACAGCTAGATGCTTGCTTGCAAGCTAGCTAGCTAAATGATGATGTTTCGGCTGGCACGTTATTAGAAAGATGGATATGGCAAATTACGATTTTAAAGGTAGAGTGTGTAGGATTATGGGAATGTATTGGCTGAAATGGAATATAATATAATAAGTATGTTTTCTTTAGTGTATAATCACCTTAAAATGAGAATCGCTATGTTTTTGTAACCTTAGAATGAGCTGTTTACATCTACAGAGGGAGCGGGTCTTCATTTATGTAGATTGTCATGTTGCACCGTCATGTTTCTACAGCAGCCCAGTACAGACAGACCAAATGCTGGCTCTAGATAGTTAGATATAGATACATTTTCGCCTTGGCAAACAAAGTTATGTGTTTGTTCATGCAGGACACGGAAGTACACCACAGCTGTAACCGGTTGACAGTCAGATGATTGGATCATTGCATCTAATCAGTCACACACCAATCACAGCCCATTCTCACAACAAGGTGGCCCATTTAAATATGGCCTCCTACTCACTGATCCCTGCTACATCAGTGCTGCCACACACCGCTGCTGCTACTGGCAAAGCTTTGCCTCCTCCGCCTTCCTAGTTCAGAGTCCTAACACGTCTTAAAGGTTAACGGGGTATTTTATGTCTTGCTTTGGGCCCACTCATGTGCACCCAGGCGGGGTTTTCTACACTGTGCTCCCTGTTTTGGTTTAGCATGCTGCTCGTCTTATCCAGGGAGCATCTTAAGAGTGGAGCAATCAGCGCCAAGCATAACTGTATTTACATTTGTTACAATAAATGGTTAAATCTGTGACAAAAGTGTTCCTGACTGAACTGAAGGTAGCAGCCCCTCCGCAAGGGACCTTTAATTTTTTATATATTATTATAAATTATATTTTATATACATTTTATTTTATTTTAGTTTATTTTATTCATTTATTTATTTTTATTTATTCATTTATTTATTTTTACTTTGCCGAGCCCCCCCCCTAGTTAGTGTTATGGGATTTAAAAAAAAAAAAAAAAAAAATTCAGCAACTATTTACATAATTAATTAACTGTTTTTGAGCAAAAAAAATATCCGACTTTTAGATGATTCCAGCTTCTCAAATGTGAGGATGTGGTGCTTAGTCAATAACATATCTTTTAACGTTCTATAGATGATCTTATTAATTGAGAAACTAATTGGCCGATTAATTGATAATGAAATAAGTGTTAGTTTTAACTCTAAACATTTCAGTACCAAAATATGTTTCCAAGAAAAGAGTACTGTATTTATTATTGATTTTGACTGTTCCCATTCTTTTTCATCAGAGCATCAATGATCCGTAACCACAACAACAACTCCCTCTCAACGCCCCCTCATCCTTATCGTTACGGCACATCCAAGTCATCTGAGAGTGACCTGTCCACCTGCACGCTGTCGGGCTCCCGGCTGCCTCTGCCTCAGTCGCCTCGAAGGCCCTCGTCCTCCCCCGGCGGCCCCCGCAGCGCCCACTCCCGCCTCTTCAGACCGCAGACCTCACTCCTCAGACCTCCTCCCACCCCTGACAGCCCCCACCACCGTGGCTTCAACGGTTTCCATGGCAACACCAGCCCCACTGCCAGTCCCACCAGTGTGTCCTCTCCCGGGGCGATGAGTGTGGGCAGTGGCGGTTTCAGCGGAGGGGAGCTGGTGCCAGTGGCCTTGGCTCAGACCGATGGAGACAGAGGACTTGGCTTCAGCGTGATGGCTGGCGGTCCAGGAGGCAGGATGACTATAGTGAAGAGAGTCTGGGACAGGAAGCAGTGCAACTCCCTGCAGCCAGGGGATGCTATTGTCAAAATCAACGGAGCAGATGTCCAGAGTCTTAGTATTGCACAGGTAATAATGTGGGATAAAAAGGGAAGAAAGTAAGGTGGATTAAACACAGCTCTTAGTGATTTCTGACATTTTTTGATTAACACAAAGCAATTTCTGTTTTCTATCTCTTCCGCCACAGGGTGCATGAGTTGTAATCACTTCAATCAAACCATAATTTGCCTTTGTAATTATTTTTGGTGGCCTGGAGAGATCGAACTATGCAGTATTTCACCAAAAAAGAGAGAAAAGCCTGAAAAATAATCAGAATTTTGAGTAAAACAATTTATTTTTTCTTATTTTCTTCCAAAGAATTCACCTCGTTTCACCCGAGTTTACAACCACTGGTTAAAAACATGCCAATAAATCAAATTTAGGGATGAACACGAGCCTAAAATGTGTAAAATATACCCCCCAAATTTTCCAAATTAGTCACAATATATGTTTATGTATGTTTACAGGTACAAACAGTCCTCCAGGAACACACCAGGCAGGCAGAAGTCATCTTGTTGGTTTACAGAGGAGGTAAATGATTCAGATTCGTTGTGGAGTCAGTGATTTCAGTAACTGACAAACAAGTATTTACTCACAGTTGTTTTCTCTTTCATTATCAGGCATCTATCATTCAACCGTCTCCCCAGGCTCCATACGAAGACTCCCTCCGCCTCTCCTCCACCCCCCTCCTCCACCTGTTGGTTCAGACAACTCCTCTATGCTCCCAGAGACACTGCCTATGCCTCGTACCTCCATCAGCACCCCTCCCTCGCCAGCCCCAGTGCGCTCCTCGCTGATCCAGAGCACCAGTTTCTTGGAGTCGATTCCAGTGACACTGACCATGGAACCTAAAGACTGGATCAACACGGGCCTGGAGGATGAGGCGGGCGGCGTCGCAATGCTGGACTCAGGTCTGGAGAGGCAGGGTGGGTTACGAACTCGGCCGCTCAGAGGGTTTGATGTGGAGCTGAAGAGGAAGCCAGGAGAGGGCTTTGGGTTCGTCATCGCCTCTCAGGATGTGGAGAACGGCAAAGGTGAGAGCCAGCTACATAGTGACAAATCATATTGTGTAATTTATTAATCAAGTTAAAGGCTTTAAATATAGTACGTGTTTTGGTTTTTAAAACTGTATCTTGATGTGCAGCAGAAGTGGACGGGCATTACGCAGCATTAGTTGAACTTTTCTGGCCCAGTAAAACCATTTGGTTACCTGCCCAGGGAAACAGGGTTTATTTGGATGCCCTTGTGGACAGATGCACCATTAGGTAATTACAGATTAAACAGTGGTCAACATGGCTACATGCCACCGGATGAGTCATGATGCTTCATCAACCCTTCCCTTATAAAGTGTTTTATTTTCCAGGGGTGGTTTTATTTGCATTGTAGAGGAAATTAGGATTTGGCATCCACCATTGTCACTGACTGGTTAATTTATCACAGAGTTCACTTTTGGCAAGCAGCAAACTTAATTACTCAAGTGTGTATTTTCCGTTTATATTCATGAAAAGCTCAACACCAAAACACTACTCTCAAGATGTTTGGGAATTGTAGTTTTACAGGAGGTCATGTGCTGCACAGTCACTGAAGTTGCAGCTTGGTGCTTGGCACCTTCACGGGTGTAGACAAGACTCCAGGAAGTCACTGCTCTCAAGACAATAACCTGGCACATAAAACTACACTGTGTCATCACAGCACTTCAGTTTTTGTACTGATTAAAGTCACTGTATACAACACTCAGTGCAATGACATAGCAGCAAACAACTCTTCACCACCATGTTAGTGCATGTGAATCCCATCGGCTAGCTCAGAGGGAGGCAACCTGCAGCTCCAAAGCTGCAGCTCTTTAACCCCTCTCTAGTGGTTCCTTACGGCATTAACAAATCATTATACGGATATTAGTAACAATTTTTTTAACATTTTAATTTTCATTCACGAATGAGGGTAGAATGGAGCGTGAGATGGATCGGCGGTTGGGTGCAGCATCTGCAGTGATGTAGGCGCTGCTTCGGACCGTCGTGATGAAAAGAGAGCTGTGCCAGAAGGCGAAGCTTTTGATTTACTGGTCCATCTACGTCCCGACTCTCACCTATGGTCATGAACTTTGCGTAGTGACCAAAAGAATGAGATTGTGGATACAAGCGACTGAAATGAGTTTCCTCTGTGGGGTGTCTGGGCTCAGCCTTAGAGATAGAGTAAGGAGCTCGGAGTAGAGCCACTGATCTTTGTATTGAAAGGGGTCAGTTGAGGTGGTTCAAGCATCTGATCAGGATCCTCCTGGGTGCCTCCTGTTAGAGGTGTTCCAGGCACGTCCCACTAGTACGAGGCCCCAGGGCAGACCCAGAGCACACTGGGAGGATTACATATCTCATCTGGCCTTGGAACGCCTTGGGGTTCCCAAAGGAGGAGCTGGAAGGCGTTGCTGGGGAGAGGGGTGTTTGGGGTGCTTTGCTTGGCCTGCTGCCCTGGAACCAGGCCCCAGATTAGCAGATGAAAATGGATGGATGAAATTTTCATTCATTGTTGTTGTAGGCCCAAAGTGATTCTTACATTCTCCAACTGTCAAAATGTGCAACTATACACCAAATAATTTTTATTTAACATCTCATCAAATAAGATGTCCAATATCTACAACCTGGCACCTTTTCCTCTAAATTTTGCTAAACCCTCAATAGCAGTAGCTAGTCCTGAGTCTTCCCCGCTGGGTTAGCTACAGATTACAAATACAGAAAAGGTCAAGTCTCTGAGAAAAACAGAGAGTTTAATAGTGAATGGACAGATTTGTTTGCTTTCACCGCCAACGCTGCAAAGTTAAAGTACCATTCATCTCTGTAACCACTTATCTGTCAAGCACAAATTGGAGAGACTCACAAAGCAGACTCACAGACTCGGATAAAAGTTCAAGGTCTTTAATCAGGCTCAGGACGGTACACAGCTGATCAGTTTCACAGGCAAAGGTATCCAAATGAACAGGCAAAAAAGTGGTCAAAACCACACTCACAAGGAACACCGAGAAACGCTGAAACTCTCGCTCAAAGGTAACGACGATGGGGTCTACCCCTTGGTCCAACAGCTCATTATTCCGACAGCCCATTGGTCCGACATCCTATTGTTCCGACCATATTAAACCCATTGTTCCGAAGTCCCGTTGTTCCAAAATCATCATGATGCCCTGTGGTTAAGGTCTGGTTAGGTTTGGGCACAAAAACCACTTGGTTAGGGTTAGGAAAAGATCATGGTGTGGGTTAAAATGGAAAACAAAGTGGCAAACACATAAGCCGTGAGCCTGCTTCGCCTCAAGCCTTTCCCAGCTGACCCAGAGCCGGTTGTGGCGCACCATCAAGGCAGAAATACACCTGCCGGGAGCCGTTCAGCACCGCGGAGAGCTCCCCACACAACCCAGACCCCAGAGTTAATAACAGGAGGTTATGGTGTTTCAATCACTACTCTCTATGACACTTGTATATCAACCAGTAGCCTACATTTGTTGCGTTTGCTGATCCTCTATGGTACACAAACACAGTATAGCCTAGTATAATCACATATCGGAACAACGGGACGTCGGACTAATGGGCTGTCAGACCAATGACATGGACCCAAGACGATCTGGCAACAAAGGAGGGGAAGACAGGGACCTGAAATGCTGACCCCTGGGCTAGCTAATCCCAGCTCTGCACTGACCCATATGGTGGTTACCGCTGATAACAGCATCCCAACCCACAGTGTGATTGTGGAAGTCAGCACTCTGGCCGTTATTAGCACTGTTCTTGATTGATAACACTAGCTGCCAGCATTGTTTTAAACGCCACGATGTTTAGAACCGTGTGCAGACAATCCTGGCTCAGACTGTGAATCACAGATATGCTCTATATCAGTGGTTTCCAATTGATTCAGCCATGGGGCCCAGATTTCTCCTTAGTTCTGGTAGGTGGGTTTTGTTACCTTAGGATGGAGCCAGGCAAGCTGTTTCTTCTGTTTTCTTATGTTAAGATAAGCTAACATGCTGCTCATAGAGGCTTCATACTTATCATACAGACAGACATGAGAGTGGTACTGATCCCCTCATCTAAGTCTTATCAAGAAAGTGAACAAGTGTATTTTTCAGAATGTCACAATATTCCTTTAAGAAGTTAGGAAGTCATATACTGTGCATTTATATGTAGTCATGCCCTTTTTTAAGTGTATATGGAGCAAAGTGACCTTTTTGTTTGAAGTATCATATCACCAGTATCTCACTCTGTGCTCCTCTATACGCTCCGACCTGTCAGGACACTGGGACTTGTTTATGTTCTGTCTGGGAAGCGAACACATCCTGCCCTGATTAGCTTTTAGTGTAGTGCTTATGCATAGCCAGTTAGCCGCAGCATCCCCGTGATGTATTACCCGCCTCTCCTCTTCCTCTGTCTTGTATTGGCTGCCCTCTGTTCCAGTTTGATGCAGTTCAATTTGCTTTATGGGCCAAGCGAACACACATTTATGTTTTCACGGTGAGATTAAGGTTGTAGGTGCACCTATCTCTGCAGCACAGAGTTCCCTCCCTCCCTCCGCCGTGTCCTCACTCTCCGCTTCATTTTCACTCCTGTCATGTCTCAGAAACGAGTCCCCTCTGTCTCTCCATATCTGCCTTTAGCCTCTATCGTTTCCTCTTCCTCTCATCAGTCTTTCTCTCCATCGCTCTTATCTCCCTCACAGGCTCCCTGCCCACTCTCTCTCTCTCTCTCTCTCACACCCCTTTACTCTGCAGTAAAAGCGTCCAGTCTGGTTTTTCAAAAGATTAAAACTCTCTCTCTCTCTCTCTCTCTCTCTCTCTCTCTCCATCTCTCCCTCTTTCCATCCCTCACTCCCTCCCTCCGCCTCCCACCTACCTCTCCATTGCTCTCTGAATGCTCAAGAGAAATGCCACACTGAACATTTTCCCTCGCAGAGGAGCAACAGAGGGGGGACAGCAAACCTGTGTTTTACTCTCCTGTTGACCGTTACATGTGAATCTCAACACCTTCAAGCTGCCCGACAAGGAATTTAGGATTTTTTTTTGTTGTTGTTTTCTGCGTATGCTAATCAGAGAGCCATGCTGGAGAGACTACAGTCTGCTTTGAAAACTGTGAAGGAGTCTAAACGTAATTATTCGCTCCACTTCTTGTTTCAGGTTTACTATAAAAAAGGGGAGGGTGCTGGTTTTGGTGCAGTGTTTCATGTTTAGCTGTGTGTCTGATTCTGTGTTGCACACTAAAGTTTGCTCAGGCTGATGTTGACTTGTATGAAAGTTAGGTCCACATGTCTGATAGTTGATGAAACTGAAGCTGTAGCAGTATATGTTGTGTTTTTATATACATGGATGATGATTGCAGCGACAACACATGAAAGGGAATTAAACTATGTTTAACCCAGCCAGGCTTAAAACAGGACACAGCGTGATGTGGTGTATTAGAGCCATTAGTGAGCCACACAGGCAGCAAAATGAATGGATTTAACAGATAGCATTAGCACTGCTGAGTTCAGCACCTTGCACACACACACACACACACACACACACACACACTACTTGTATGAACGATGCTGCGAGAGCTCAACAGTGCTCTCCCCACTCTCCGGCATGTACTGGGCATCTGCAGGCTGCTGTGGGGACGTCTGCACCGGCTTGATGCATCTGGGCTGCAGAGGGGGATTTTGCGATGGCGTGGAGGGGGGGGGGGTCTCCCACTCCTGAGCGGTGATCAGTGCAGAGCGTCAGAGGCAGGCTGGCTGCTGGGCATACTGCAGTGGGATTACTCTGGACAGGAGAACATGGAGAGCCAGAGGAAAAGACACTATGATATAAAGCAGTCCATTTGGATGCATCTGTGTGTGTGTGTGTGTGTGTGTGTGTGTGTGTGTGTGTGTGGGGCTCAGTACATCTGTCCCAATCCCTCTGCGTGTGAGTCACCATGCACGTGTGGTTTTGTACATGTGTGTGTGTGAGCATGGCTGTTGCATGTGTATTCATGTGTTTGTTGGATGCTGGACTGATGTATTATGCATGATAAGAAGACTATTTGCAAAGCTGCCTTGGCTTTGATTTGACCTGATTGCCGTTTCTGCCTGGGTCACCCAGATTAGGCCCAGATTGGAGATGTGTCTCTGCTGGACTCTGAATTATAGTCTGTACCTTTTTAGCGGGATCGTCATTCCAATGTGACGCACGTCACCTCACATTCCTGGCGCCAAGGATTGTAATTTTTATTTTATGGCGCCACATAAGGCAATTTAAACACGCTATTTTTATCCTGGAGGGATAGAGACTGAGGGGGCGGCTATGTACCTCAGCTGAATGAGTGTCTCAAAATGTTTATGCTGCCTGATGGGTTACATAAGGCCACTGGCAACACTCAAGAGGGGCCAGCTGTCACCAAAGCACACATACCCTCACAGAGAGGTCAAAGGGAGAGTAACAGGGAGTTTACTGAGACACACAGAGAGGGACGAAAGAGAGACGTCTAAGCAGACAGAGACAGACGGTCCAGATAAAAACTGTAAGAAGCTTTTTAGTTGGCGCGGGAGATTAATGGAAGCAAATTTATTTTTAGGCTGCTCGATATTTTTCTCATCAACCTCAGACGCTGACCAGAGTTAAGCTTAATTGTGAGTGATCTCTTTGTACTGAAGATAAGACAAATTGAGTTCCTGATACATTCAGCTAATTGTCCCTCCTCACATTGTACACTCACTTCAGCTCAGGGGTCAGATTGAACAAAAAAGACACATCATCTGTGACCCCAGCTACACTCCCCTGTGTGCTACAGCACATCGTCTGTGACCCCAGCTACACTCCCCTGTGTGTTACAGCTGATAGGTGGTGTTTTTGAGTGATGTACAAGCAAAGAGTATGGACAGATTATGAGACAGTGGTCCCCTGGGCACAAACATGCAAAAGGCCACAGCACCTCTCCTACATAGGGCTGAAAACACCTGCAGATTTTGTGGTTATTTTACCCTTTTTTTGTTGTAGTCATTTTGTGTATTTTTTGGTTGTTTTGCCCCTTTTGTAGTTTGTGTTTCTTTGGGGTAGTTTTGTGGAATTTTAAAAGATAATTTTAAGTCTGTTTGAGGTCACCAGGCTCTTTGTCATGGTGGTTGTTTTGCCCCTTTTTGTAGTAATTTTGTTTCTCTTTAAGGTCATTTTGTGTCTCTCTAGGGTTGTTTTGCCCATTTTCTGGTTATTTACAATCTCTTTTTGGTTCTTTTGCCCCTTTTGTAGTCATTTTATATGTCTTTGTAGTTGTTTGTGGCTCTTTGTAGTTGTTTGTGGCTCTTTGTGATAATTTTACATTTTTTTTCATAGATAATTTTGTGTCTCTTGTCATTTTATGTCTCTTTGCAGACATTGGGGGTCTTTATTCCCATTGTTTTACCCATTTTGTAGTTATTTTGCATCTCTTTTTGGTAGTTTTGCCCCTTTGTAATTCATTTTCACCTCTTTTTTGATTGTTTTGCCCCTTTTTGTAGTCATTTTGTGTCTTTGTAGTTGTGTGTGGCTTTTGGGAGTAGTTTTATTTTGTTGTTTTTACAAGATAATTTGTGTCTTTTTGTCATTTTGTGTCTCCTTAAGGTCGTTTTGTGTCTTTCTTTTGTTTTTTTGCCCCTTTTTGTAGTCATATTGTGTCTTTGTAGTTGTTTGTGGCTCGTTGTTTTTTTGGACAATTTTGTGTCTTTTTTGTCATTTTCTGTCTCTTTGTAGTCATTTTATTTCTTTTTTCTCTCTTGTTTTGCCCCTTTTGTGGTTATTGTCCATCTTTTTTTTGTTGTTTTTCCCATTTTCTATAGTCATTTTGTGTCTTTTTGAGCTCTTTTTTGTCTTTCTTTGGTGTTATCCCCTTTTGTAATTATTTGTCATCTCTTGTTGGTTGTTTTGCCCCTTTATGTGGTCATTTTGTGTCTCCTTTGAGGTCATTTAGTTGCTTTTCGTAGTTGCTTTTGCCCCTTTTTAGTCATTTTGTGTCTCTTTGCAGTTTCTCTTCGCATCTCTTTGTTGTCTTTTTGTCTCCTCCTGATCGCTATGTGTTAATTTGAGTAACACTTTGTTTGTGAAGGCCAGGACGACCCCTGACACTTTGGGCCCCTGGGTCTGTGTCCGGTATCCATCCATGGGTAGAAGACAACAGTCAAAGTTTCCCACACAGGGGAGAAAGATCAGCAGAAAGAACTAAATATTGCTGCGTGTGTGTTTTTTTATGTGTGTTTTGTATGCTCGAGGCATACTAATGCAGAAAGACTGCAAGTTTGTGGCTCTTTGAGGTGCTAAGTGTAAGAATCACTGAAGCTGTATAAACCAAAGAGTAAATATCTAAAGTCTGTTGCTACGTGCAGCTTGACAGATTCAGGACAAAAAAATATTGCTGGAAAGCTTGTGTTCCATCACAGTTTGTTCTTGAGGAGGAAGACAAATCATTGAACAGCAAAAAACAGTTGCTGGCGTTCAGCCGATGGAGAGATAGGTTGATAGATGGGGAGATGAAAGAGGAGAGAGAGAGTGTTTCAAGGAGACAGTGGGGGAGGTGTAAAAGAAGGCTTCAGTGGGAAGTAATTAGTAGACCCTGCCAAAAACAATCCAAAGCTTAATTACGGCTTGTTTTAGGAATTCTGGCAAACACACAGGTGAAATAAATCTTCCTGCTTTTAAGTGTATCTACATATGACCTCATTTATTAGTCACTGCCTTCAGTTTAAAGGAAAGTTTTAGGGCTGGATGAAGTTTCGTGTTTCGTTCAACAAGTAACTCAAAGAAATCATTTAGAATAACTGGTGTTTTCTGTCCTCTCCTCAGCTGCTTCACTTCTCCCTCATCGGTTTGTGACGGTCCGTCGAGGCAGCCCGGCGGCAAAGAGCGGTCAGATCCGGCCTGGAGATCGATTAGAGGCAGTAGGGGGTCGCTCGGTGGTGACTCTGCCTCACCGGGAGCTTGCTCAGATCCTGCGTCGAGCGGGAAATACTCTACGCCTCACCATCGTCCCACGCCCCAGCACCTGTAAGCGTAGATATAAGTATTTAGGAAACACACACAAATATACAGTCCAGTTCTTGACTCATAATCTGTCTTCAACATCATCTATTTCAGATTCTTCAAGCCTTTCAGAAACCACTGAGTATGACCCTGGTCACAGAAGCAGAAAGGGTCAGAGGTCACGTCCAAAGGTGAGTGCAGCACCATGATCTATGAATTGACTTTAGCTGTTGCTCACCTTTTCCACTGCCAGTGTCTGATCCTCTCTAGAGTGATGATAATCAGTCTTCCCTCTCTGCTCTCTCTGCACTCGTCTCCCAGCGTGACTCCAGGTATTACAGCGTAGACCTGGATCGTGGCCCCTCAGGGTTCGGCTTTAGTCTCAGAGGGGGCAGCGAGTACAACATGGGCCTCTAAGTCCTGGGACTGATGGAGGGGGGGCCGGCCTCACGGAGCCAAAAAATGCAGGTATGTCTGTTGCTGTGTTCATCTCACAATCTACTCTTCCTACGCTTTTCCTGTAAAGTAATTTGGTAAGTAAAAGTAAAAAACAAAAACATGAGAAGTGCAAAGTAATTAAAAACCAGCACCTGTTAATAAAACTTTTTTAATGAAGTGGAGCAGGTCGGCTTCATGAATAAATAATGCTAGTCCATACAACTGAGATATGAACCATCTCCTACACTTTCTCCATCTCTTCCTCTCTAGCCCTTTCTTCCCTGTAACATCAAAGATTAATATTACACATGAAAGCTTAACGTAGCTAACATTAGCTAGCTAACTACATTTTCACCTACTCTGTGTGCAGCTTACTTCAATGTGCTTGCAGAGGTTAGTAGAGGCGTTTTTACATGCAGAGATCTTGTGTTTTTTGGGAGTTACAGCAAGCACTTCATCATGTAACTATTGCATTTTTAGATTTTGGTGTAAAAATTGTTGCCAGATGTGGCCAGGGATTGTGGCTCGAAGCTGCCTCTAGTTCTAGGTTTTGTCTTCGTCATCATCACATCGTGTTCAAAGGACAGTGGTGCTTCTTTTTCTTCCAGGCAGCTTGTAAGCATAAGTGCTCCTCGTATGCTCTCCCTCCCTGCTCTCAATCCCCACATATACAGCAGACCAGTTGTAACAAAGGTGTAAATGGGAAAAGCAGTGAAGTAAAAAGTAGATTACTGACTCAGAAAGGAGTAAAGAGTAAAAGCACAGTTTATAAAAAGAAACAACGACTTTTTTAGTTATGTGTATTACTTGTTATGTGTTACTCCTCACCCTATGTCTGTGATGGAAATCTGGAGAGCTGGTTAAATTGTAACTGAAGAAATTAAGGAGACTTAGATGTCTCAAGCAACAGCATTTCATGAAGTTCCATCGAGGAAAATCACGGTCAAGCACAGTGTAAGACAATGTATGCCAACCTGAGATTCTGAAGATGCACTTCTTGACAGGGAGGATTTAACCATTTACTACTGTTAGAGAGTCACTACATGTTCCAGATAAGGTGATTCTTTACCAAGCTCCATATGTGTGAGGATTACTGGTCCACTCTCCTGGTCTCACCATCAAAGGGGAGAGGGTAGAGGTGGTGGAGTCTCTCAGATACCTAGCCATTAGATTGGACAATAACCTCAGCTTCAGTCAGCATGCCATGGCCATTTAATAATGTTGTAAGCAGAGACTTACAGCCATCTGTAAATTAAATCACCTGTCAGTGCAACCCCATCTTCTTCTTCTCCTGTACCATAGCATTATGGAGCCAGTTCATCTGTATGGTGCCATCTGTTTTTTTCATATGCTCACAGTCACTAATAAGAGTAGCCAGCAAACTTGTAGGTATTTCTACCCCCGACTGATCTGATAATGTCACCTTATCCCTGATCCACAAAGCAGTCACAGTCACTCAGAACCCAGATCATCCACTTCACAAATACTTTATCCTTCCCTCTGGATGCAGGGAAAGACTACCTGTGTGCAGAAGGGCCTGTTTCAGCAAGAGCTTTGTTCCCAGCTCTAAATAAATAACCTCCTCTTGATCTCAATCAATGTCTATCTATCTATCTATCTATCTATCTATCTATCTATCTATCTATAAGTCTGGGGCAGAGAGTGACCTGTCTCACCCCATCCTTGGTTGCTGTGGGAACGGAGGCAGCTGTGCTACACCAATCATGACTGGTAGTGCAAGAGATTAACTTTTGCCTCTAAGGAAGCAGCAGAGCATGACCTTCTGCTCTTTTAGGCTTACAGCTTATCTGAACATGACTCGAGATACAACTGCGTTGTAGCACCTTTATGTTACAGAAGAACGATCCTAAAAAGGAAAATTCCTTCACAATATCTGTATCATTCTCTGTATTTGAGTGTGTAATCTATCATCATCTCTCATTTATATTCCTGAATGTTCTGTTATTTTAAAGAGATAACAGGTACAGTATTTTAAATAATGGCATGGATGTTGTGTCTGTGTGTTTGTGGCTGCAGGTCAGCGATCAGCTAGTGGAGATCAACGGGGACAGTACAGCGGGGATGACCCACAGCCAGGCGGTGGAGCAGATCCGCCGAGGAGGCCATCGCATCCACCTAGTCCTCAAGAGAGGGAACGGCTACGTGCCTGACTATGGTGAGACACAGTGGGAGGACAAGGGAATAGTTAGGGACTGCCATGTAAATATATGAGATTTAAAGTACAAGATATGATAAAACATTGCGTCCTTTTCTTTTGTGATGCATCTGTCTTGGGTGTGTAATCTCCTTCCTCCTTTTCCTGTGGGACTGATTCTGACTAACACACTTTCTACTTTTCTTTTCTTTGTGGTGTTTCCCTTCTTTTTGCTTTTAACATCCCCACATTCCCTCCTCTGGATCGGCCTGTCTTGGTTTTCCCTTTCCTCCAAACACTTCTCTCCTCTCTGCTCCACTCCTTCCTTTCTTTTATCTCTCTCAGTGGAGCTCTCCAGTTTGTCTCTATGTATGACCAACTCCAAGCTAGGAGAGCCTTGCTTCTATGTCATTGGACGGACAGAGAATACGCGGTTGGTAATGGTTCCTGTTAGTTCTCCCATTTTCTGTCTCTCTACATTCCTCTACTCAGTCACCACTGCTGTCTCCACTTGTAGAATAAGATACCTTACAGCCTGTGTGTTGGACCTCCTTGTTAGAAGATAGTCGTGACTATCAACTTAATCAATCTTATCAACACACTTTTTCCTTTATCCATAGTGCTGTCAGTTTAGTTTTGGTGTAATGTGCTGAGTGTTGGAGATATCAGCCGTAGAGATGTCTGCCTGCTCTCTAATATAATGGAACGAGATGTCACTTGTGGTGCTCAAAGCGCCAGAAAAATACATTTAAAAAACTCAACAGCAATGTCTCTTCCTAGAAATCATAACCTGGTTACTCAAGATAATCCACAGACCTTGTTGTGAGTTTTATGTCGGAACTATTGCTGCCTTCAAATAGAGTTGTGTTCACCGTGTTCATGACAAGAGTCAAGAGTGTGGTATTCACAACCTTGTTAGTGAAAAATTTCTTAAAGCTCCTTCTTAAAGTTTGCTGACATTTTCAGAAATGGCAGTGGTCATGGAAGTTCGTTTTTTGGCGGATGGCAATCTAATAGGTTGTAATTTAAGTCATATAGAGTATTTCTTTATAATTTTTCAATGTCTGAGAGAAATGTTTATATTCCCAGCAGCCTCATTTCACCTCTGTCACTGTGCCTTTGCATTTCCTGCATTACAGTAGCCTGCTAAATTGTCAGCCTCAGTGGATTCTAGAAGGCAACAGTTGCATCCATGTTGCTGTTGCCTAGCAGCAGTTTTCTCACGACTTAATCACCAGAACGCTCAGCATATAATAATAATGATTATAATAATAAATTTAATTTATATAGCGTTTTTCAAAACAAAGTTACAAAGTGCTTTACATGGTTGATCCTGGATTAAAAACAATGCAGGATTCAAGCAAATAAATTGAGTCAATTTTAAGAAGATATTAAGAGCACTAGAAATAAAATAAAGCTAAAATACCATCACTGAAGCAGATGAGCAAAGATGGTAACTAATTGCCCTGTAGATTGCACTGAGGTACAGCTAATCTAACAATTAGAGTAATACAAAATAAAAGAATGCAATAACTAATGATAGCACAAGATAAAAACAATAAAGTTAATCAAATGAGACATATATAAAATAAATAGTGTGCTGAAATTAATAAAAGGCTTTTTTGAAGAGATAGGTTTTAAGAAGTGATTTAAAAGATGTCACTGATTCAGCCAGCTTCACATCCTCAGGCAGGGAGTTTCAGAGCTGAGGGGCCTTGACAGCAAAAGCCCGGCCACCTTTAGTGTTGAACCGTGACTGAGGAACAGCCATATACTAGGGTTGCAACTAATGATTATTTTCATTGTCGACTAATCTGTCGATTATTTCTTCGATTAGTCGACTAATCATTTTATCGAAAAATGTGTTAAAATGTTGAAAAATGTCGGTCTGTCTCTCCCAAACCCCAAAATTATGTCATATAAAGTCATGTTACGTACTCAAGCCAAAGGGTTTTAATTCACAGTCATGGGAGAGTGTGTAAAGCTGCCAATATTTGAACGTAAGAAGCTGCAATAAGAGTATTTTGGCGAACTTTTATAGTACTTTTCTATGAAAAACGACTCAAACGATTAGTCGACTACTAAAATAGTCACAGATTATTTTAATAGTCGATTAGTCATCGATTAGTCGACTAATCATTGCAGCCCTACCATATACATGATGTCCCATGCGGTAACCACAAGTTCATGTGTTCCATTTGAAGGCTCTATATTTTCTTTCTAATAATCTACACCCTGCAAGCGTATCACTGCGCAGAAGGAAGTGTGCATCTACTCATGCACGAGAGGTTTGTGCTCATGACAGTGCAAGATACAAACATTAATGGTGTCCTCCTCAGCTAAGGTGTGACATTAGCAAGCAGTAGATATACGCTTCCTTCTTTGCAGTGATATTGGTGGCAGGCGTAGCTTGATGTAAAGAAAGTAGTTTCAACATGAAACCGCTTCATAACAAGGTCTGTGGATTATCTTGAGTAACTGGGTCATGATTTCTGGAAAGAGACATTGCTGTTGAGTTTTTTAAATGTATTTCCTGGTGCTTTGAGCACCACAAGCTGAGTGTTACCTTGTTCCATTACACTGGAGAGAAGGCAGACATCTCTACTGCGGATATCTAACACTCGGCACATCACACCAAAACAATCTAGACTGATAAACAGCTCTACAGGTAAGAGGAAAAATGTGTTGTGTTTTTTTTTGGTTGAGCTGTCCTTTTTAAGTTGTGCTGTCCTTTTTAAGTTGTGGTGTTGACATTCACAATATGATACCAGTTTCTTGCCAGATTTAGTTACCCTCAAACCGTCCTCTGATCAGGCTGTGCCAGCTTTGCAATTTGTAAGCACACTGAAAGACAGTTACAGTATTATGGAGCATGCTAATAATCAGATGTGTGTGGTATTTCTGTTGAAGGGTTTTCTGAAGGTTGCTGCTTTTCTGCAAAAGAAAAGTTGTTACACAAGCTGACCTCATGCATGACCAAAAAACACAAAACAAAAACACTTCTTGGATTTCAGAGCTCTTTAATAACAGATTACATAATGCTCTCTGCCAGAGAGTTTGCTCTTCCTTTCTTTTACCTGCCTCTTTATTGTTTTCTCCTCCTCTCTCCATGTGATGTGTGTCCAGGCCGTGAGCACAGAATCACCTCCCCCTCCCTCCTGCATCACCCCAAGGAGCAGGGTGTGGCTGCAGTAGACTCCACCGGGCGGAAGGGGCGCAGCTCCAAGCAGAAGAGGAGAAGCAAGTCTGCCGATGGACGTGTGAAAGAGAGAGGGACAGAAAGGAGAAGAAGAAGAGGGGACTCAGAGGGAGGAGGACGCTCTCGTTTACAAAGCCCGATCTCCGAGTGGGGAGAGAGGTCTCGGAAATCTAAGGACAGGAGTAGGAGGAGGAAAAAAGGGTCTCAGAGTTTACCCAGAGATGCCCTCAGGAATTCTGATGATAGTGAGGCAGAAAGAGGGACAGTGAGGGGAAGGAAAGGGGAGAAGAAAAGAGGAAGGAGCAAAAGCAGAGAGAGGAGAAGTAGAAGTGAGGAGAGGGTGAGGAAGGTAGAGGATGAAGAGCCTGAGGAGAAGGAGGAAGAGCAGGAGGTACCTGCTGTTGAGGAAAAGGTTGAAGAAAGGGTTGAGGAGGTTGAGGAGGTGGTGGAGGTAGAGGAGAGAGTCAGTTTAAAGAGAGAAGAGAGTGAAGAGGATGTTGTATTACCCATTCCAAGTCCGACCCAAAAGCTTCCCAGACCCAAACAGAACTGGGAGGAGGAGAACGATGAAAACTGGGATATGGCAGCAGAGTACAGGGAACTGAGGAAGGAGCAGGAGGAGGAGCAGGAGCAGAATGATGACAGGGCTGAAAACAGGGAGACAGAGCTGACTGAGGATCAGGAAGACGACGATGCACAGAGCGGGCGTGTCGAGGGGCCTTTACCAGGCATTGCTGTGATAGATCCAGTGTCACAGAGAAAGTCCTTCTCCTTCCTCACCGCACTGTCCGTAGAGCAGCTGGGGGACGATGAGTCAGAATCTGGAGGCAGCCAATCTGACGGCAGCGTGTCCGCTGCCAGCATCTCAGGCCTTTCTCTGGCCGCAGCGGAAGCTGGCGGGCACAGGGCTGCTGTGGTACCAGGGCCTTGGCTCACACCCAGCCAGCAGAGGGTGGCTCAGGTCACAGGAGGGAACAGGCGCCCCAGGAGGCGGACAGGGAACGGAGACGGAAGAGGAAGTGCTCTCTCTTGACTTTTAAACGTCCAGTGTGTAGGACTGAGGGGGATATGTTGGCAGAAATGGTATTTAATATAACAAGTATGTTTTCTTTAGTGTATATTCACCTGAAAATCAGAAACATTTTGTTTTTGTTACCTTAGAATGAGCCGTTTATATCTATATAGGGAGCAGGTCCTTGTCTATGTAGGTTGCCATGTTGCACATCCATGTTTCTACAGTAGCCCAGAAGGGACAAACCAAACACTGGCTCTAGATAGGGACATTTGTGTCAGCCCGTCCGTGATGAGCAAGCACAGTCTCACTCCAAAGTTGTCGAAATCCGGCGCTCGGGCAGTGACTTGCGGTGTCAGAAACCAACAAAAAAAGGCGTCCTTTAATGTCGGCATGTTACGAAGCCGGTTGCACGTGGTGTCAGGGGGAAACCTGGCGGGACAAGGACGAAAGTTAAGGCAGCAAAATGGGTCCAACAAACACCAACTTTCACCCGAGAGAGCGGTGTTCATGTCCCGTAAGATCATAAAGCCAAACCTTGTTCTTTTTTCCTAAACCCAACCATGTGCGTTAGTTGTTGAAGGATGTAGTGCGTTTATTTTGAAAGAGACTGTATGTAAATGTTAAATTTCCTGTGAAAACATAAGTGTATCTTGAAAGAAAAGAACTTGACCCTGCTTCCCAGAAAGTCAACAACCAATGCACCCAGGGTACCTTGCACGGCATATGTGGACGTGGAAAGTCCATGACCAAATGTCAGTATGTGACAAGGTTGGAGTGAGAATGTGTTGGAGGAGCAGCATCAGAAAAACACTGATTTTTTTAATCATTAAACTGCTTTATTAGGTGTTCTTACTGGTTTAAATCACCGGATCTGTATGTTTCGGGGAGGAAGAGACCTCTACAGATAATTCGGCAAACAGTAAAAACCTCCTGAACATCTGAATCAGAAAGGAGGGTGAGCACACATTAGCAGGTGCTAGGCTAACGGCTCTACTCACACAAGCCAAACGGCATCTGAAAAACACTGATTTGTTATGTGAAACTGCTTTATGCAGAGTGTTACCAGTTTAAATCCCTGGGTTTGTTTGATTTGGAAATGTATACATATAAGTTGGATCCCGGTAAAAACCTCCTGAACAAAGAACACTGAAGGAATTCGAACCAGGAGAAGTTTCAGCTGGTTGCAATCTGCCGTCCTCACCACTAGATGCCACTAAATCCCCCTGAATCCTACACACTGTTCCTTTAACAGGAAGTAGAGCAGCAGCAGCAGCTGAATGATACAGCATCAGATTCTGTCAGTCTCACACTGTAAGACCTCGACTTGTTTTTCTGCAGCTACCCACACTACCAACATCTTCTCTCAGTCACTTTGATATCTACAGTATGAAGTCATATTCTTTGTGCCTTTTTATAGCTGACCTCTGGCTGATGTTCAATCTTTGATATCACATTTTAACTCGTAACATCACCAACACGGTAAAGTGAGGTCTGGTTTGCTGAGCTTTGTTTTTTTCGATGCACTGTGCCCTCATATTGTTTCACTCCTGTCTTTAGATTTGCAGCATTTGTGATAGATGTTACCACGACAACAAGGTCTTTCAGACACCTTGGTTTTAACCGACTTCCAATCTCTCTCTCACCTCTCTGCGTCTCTGTCTTCACACTGCTTTAGCAGAATAATCCTCTCTGATGTACTCCACCCCCCACACCTCCACCCTTACTGTACAAAAACTGCATAGACATTCACTTATACCTCATGAAGATAATAAGCAATAATAATGCAACTATCCAAGACTATCAGCCATCCATCCCCACCATGCCACGTCGATCTGGTCTGAGAGGAAACAGTGTTTGTACAATATCCTCTTTGTCTCATGTGGACACTTGTAATGTCGTTCCATATAACTGAATATTTGATTGTGATCATGCAAATCCCCCTTTTGACAGCAGGTGTGAAATCTATATTCTGTAAATATTGGTAGAGAGATTAATGACAGAACTTATTGTAAATACTATACTAACTGGAGCCAAGCCCTGATGTGTATTACTGTGCTGTAATACACCAAGATAAAACTATATATATATATATATATATATATGAATACATGCAGTATATCTATATATTACATACAACAGCTACCCGTATTGTTTATGATAGTGTGATGAAATTAATTGGTACATAGCTTTCGTGATGGCTCAAAATGTAAACACAGAACTATATTGTACCTGCCCTATTCATAATGAATGTTTTGTAATATGCTGCTTGAGTGTGGATTAGGATACTCAGTGTCGTACCCTACTTCAGAAATCAGCAGAAGATGCCAAAAATATGCATATTCTGTGTGCATATTTCCAGTACTGTTATTATTGTGTATGTGGGGTCAGAACAAAAACACTGTCTAGATTCTAGAGAGTGCTGTGCCCATCGTGCCACGTACAGTTGCCTTGGTAACATAAACCACTTTATCCTAACCACTGATTTTTCTTACTGTGAAAACCCCCTCGCTCTGAGGTCTCTAATGCGAGAGCAGGGCGGGCTGTTTAGTAATTTCAGTCATGCCAAAAGAAGACAAAAAAATAAAGGCCCTTACTGTAAATCCACAGAAACAGTGATAATATAATAATCATAAGCCTCTGCAGAATCTGAGCTCAGCGTCGCGTCTAAGATGGCAAAATAGCACATCATTTTGTTTTGCTCTCTTTTTTAAAGAATTCAGTTTCGAAGACAAAGCCAGGCTGAATGGATACTGTGAGATGTTATTTTTCTATGAAATTATCTTTTTTGAAATACTCAGGTTTTCAGATACTTTGCTCTAGATAAGCCATTAGGAAGAAAAGCTACAATCACACCTTTGTCATAACACAGAGTGGACTCATATTATTTAAATGTCACGTTCATGGCAGCATTAATGAGACGCAGACTGTTACGGATGTTTGTTACCAGCCCATAATTATCTTGATGCTATGAGTGAAGTCCTTCATGTGTACCCCAAACCACAGAGCTGAAGCAAGTTGCTTGTTGTGCCCTGCCCATTTGTTTGCATCACGGCAGCACAGTGACCGAACCAACATCCTGTACCCCCCCCTCCAACCAGTGACCACACAGAGTAGCTTGGTAGCCGACTTATTTTATAATGTTTGCTAATGTTCTTTTTTTAGACTTTCATTTCCTAAGGGGGATTATATGGCCGAACTGTAAACACATTCTAATAAAACTGCAAATAAACTGCTGAACCAATTTCCTCGGTGGTCTTTCTTTTATTGCTTCACACCAGGAGAGACGCAGCAATGGACAGCAGATGGCAGCAAAATGATGGGCTTCAGAATATTTAGGAGGGATCTGATTAAGGTATGTGTGTGTCAGAGATTTTAAGCATCCCAAGACTGCATATTCAAAGCCAGGGTGAGATATGTGTGTGTGTGAGAATAAGACATTTAAGATTGTAAAACTCCATCCTTGGTGTAAAATCTGATCATTCTCCACAGATCAATTATTAAACCTGCTTTTTGAGAGGACATGGATTTTACATTTCCCTTTCAGCACTCAGTCTAATATTAGTGTCCTATACTGTACAGCAGAGCAGCCTCACCTGTGTGGGCTCTTATATAAAACACACACACACAGAGAAAGAGGGGGGTGAATTTATAGCCAGTGTCTCAGTTCAGATATGAGCACTTAAGTACTGCCACTAAAAATAACATCGCTGCGAGGCCTGCCTTTCTCCCATGTTGTCCTAAGCCGCATCCTTCTGTTCATGTCAGCTCAGACGTCAAAAAAAAAAAAAAAAATCACCGCAGCAATAACAGCGATTCAGCTGCAGTCACATGATGTCGACTCAGATTGAATAAGTAGACCTTTAACTATTCAAACCACTTCAAATCAGTGCTGTGAAGATGGATTATAGAGAGATGCTGGACGGAGGAGGATGTGGCACTTTTCGCTGTTTTAGACGCTCTGCATTACAGTATTGTTTTCTA